AAGGAAGGATAACAGGCATTAAATGTGGAAGTAAAAATCCAAATACCAGGCGAGCATTACCGTATCAATTTGCTGTAGTCTGTGCCTCAGAGGGAGACATGGAGCTGCCATACCCCATCCCATCATCCCTGAGCAGGCCTTGCCCAGTTTGGCTCAGCTGCACCTTGCTGGAAAGTCTCTGTTCCCCTTGTGCTCAGCAAGGAATTTTCATGGGCAAGACTCCCCAGTGCTGAATTGCAGCTGACAGACCTGCACAGAACTAACTCAAAAGGGAGATCTTTCTAGAATTCTATTTGTTTGCCACCATCACTTTTTTTGAAGAGCTCTTTGCCTGGGAACTGGAGTTGCTGAGTCTGTTTCTGGCCATGGAGAAGATGCTGAAGAGGGAATAAGAGCTACTTGAATGCAGAAAAATCTCAGAGAGGCTTGACTCAGGGTCACAAAACTGGTAATTACATCTTATTAGAAGAGAAAGTTGCTGTTGCAAAAGGTTAGTTGTGAACCTTGGTGGAAAACAACATTTTCCTCTGGGGTGAGGGCACTGGCAGAACAATTGCTCGGAGGTGCCAGGTCTGGCTCCAGGCTCCGTGGCCTTGGAGGTTTTCCCTTGGGGACTGTGCAGGAGTGCAAGGGGCAGCAGCTGCCTCTTGTCCTGCCCTCCCTGCAGCCCAGCCTCCCACAGTGACCTTCTGGAGTGGGTGAGAGCACCTGTGGTGTGCTGGGAACACCCATGGAGGATGCAGGCTGGCTTTGGTGGGGCTGTGGGAGCACTGCATTCTGCCCCAGCCTGTTCCCCCCTGCTGCAGGACCCTCCTGCACTGGGGCCACACGTGTGTCCATGTGAGCACCCACAGAGGATGCAGGCTGGCTTTGGTGGGAGTGCTGCATTCTGTTCCCCCCTGCTGCAGGACCCTCCTGCACTGGGGCCACACGTGTGTCCATGTGAGCACCCACAGAGGATGCAGGCTGGCTTTGGTGGGAGCACTGCATTCTGTTCCCTCCTGCTGCAGCCCTGCCCTGCTGCACTGGGGCCACACGTGTGTCCATGTGCTCCCTGGGCAGCCTGGTCTCCAGCTGTTGCCCATGAAAAGATGCCATGAAATTAACTCCATCGGCAGCAATTGCCTTTCCCTGCCAGCACAATCAGCGTGGATTGTCTGTTCTTTTCCAAAGTTCAAGTGTGACGACTGCAGCTTTTTAAAGCGGTCTCTCAAGACTTGGAGCCTGGATGCACAGAGCTCCAGTGGCTTCTCCCAGCTCTGCCTGGCAGTTCTCCTCTCCCTCCTAGAGGCAGATCTGCAGGCTAGTTAATGGAATTGGGTCCCCTCCTTTTTCCTGTGTCTGATCCATGACCAAGAGTCTCTGGTTCTGGTTCTCTTCCTGGAAAGCAGACTGTGATATTTGTGTTAAAGGCAAGAGATGAAGCTCTCAGTGATGGATGAGAGAGCAGAGGAGCTGAGCAGCTCAGGGAGGAGAAGGAGCACAAAGGAGACAAAGCTTCTGGGGAGGTGGATGCTCAGTGTTTATAAACCCACTTGTCTCTGCTCTAACCACCACATTTCCTTTTAGGTACTTGAAACTGATAGATGAATGTTGACGTTCAAATTGTGTTAATTCTGGGAATGGAGCTTAGTGTCGCTTTTTTCCTTGAGCACGTGGGCAGTTTGTGTATCTGTGTGAGTTGTTTCTCCTGACTCAATCTATTAAGAGGAATTTTGTTTAGGTTTGCGGGCTTACACAGTTCAGGTGTAATGAAAACCCCTCTTCCTTGGAAAGCATTTGTGTCGGGATCCTGCAGACTGAGCCAGCAGGGCTGCAGCTCACGCTGGGGCACCTGTGGTTAGAAATTCCACAGAAATTGAAAAACCATGCTCCCCAGCACGTATTTTTAATCTTTCCTCTTCTCTCCCCGACGCTTCCCTCTAGCCCAGTGTCCTACAAGCGGAGAAAGAATTGATTTTAAATGTGACCGCTGAATATGAGCCAAGGTCCCTGGGCTGTGTCCAGCTGAGGGGAACTTGTTTGAAACACAATTTACTCGTCTGTGTGTGTCTGCAGCCCTAAGAGGAGAGACTGCAGTGGTCTAAGGCAGGGAGACAAGTGCAGAAATTAATTGTACAGGTTGCAGCCAAAGCATCCCTCCAGCATTGTGTCCCCCTCCTCACCCCCCTTCCAGTAAGTATAAAACAAGGTGTCATTTTTCACCTTCACAGGGAGGTTCAGTAAATGAGGCTGGAGAATTGCTTTGGGTAATGAAGGAAGCACACATTGTGTTTTCCCTCCTGGCACTGCAGACACCCATTTGGGTGATTCCCTTGCTTGTTAACACCGGTGCAGGTGTTAGACAGGAGCTCACCCCAGAGACTCCCCCCAGAAAGTGGCTTCCTTTCTGTTCCCATTCCCCTCCCTCCACTCCCTGGAGCAATCCCGTGTGCTCCAAGATTTCCAAGGCTCTGAGCCCAGTCCTGGACTCTGTCTGTCCTGGTGTCTGTCCATCACACTGTGGGATGAGGATTTGTCCCTTGTGTTGGAGTCCCAGCAGGAAGCTTTGGTCTGATACATGGACACTGTGCTGTCACAGTCCCTTCACATGTGATAGATGAAAATCTGTCCCATATCATTCTCTTGGGGCTTTCCATTGGATCTGCTTGTGCTGTGCCCCTCCAAAGCATTGCCAGGATTTAATGTTGGTTCTCAACAGTAATTTTCCTTTGCTTCTCTTAGCTCCTGAGATTCCCTGTTGAGTCCATAAGTTTCATCTGCCCCTCCACACTGTCCTTTTCTGTTCCAAAACATTGTCACGCTGTGTGTGTGTGTACTTTAATGCTCCTCAAAATACATATACACTGACAGTAAATATTTACTGAGAAACTTGCCGAGGTGTTGACAATGAGGATGGGTCTGAAGAGTTCTTGCTTTTCAGTTTAATTTCCAGTTGGTAATTGCTGCTGCTCGTGGAAATAGCTTTGCTGGGAGCAGAGAGGAGCCGATGCCCCAGCACGGGGAGGGTGCGCGCCGTGGCTGGCGCAGCACGTTGGGGTCAGCAGAGCAGACAGGGCTGGGCAGGCGCCCTTTGATGGAGAACAAAGAGGCAGGGCCGGGAGGCTGAGGCTGTTCTGAGCCATGGAGGGGCTCAGCGTGTCCTCGTGTGCTCCCTGCCCACGGTCAGCCCGCATCAAAGCCTTCTCCAGAGGGATCTGGTGCCAGCCCAGGCCGAGGCGCTGGACTCTGCAGCCATCCATCGGCAGGTTCCGTGCAGCAGCAGCATCCCGGTGTGAAAAGCTTCAGTGGCTTGAACTTCAAATAATTTATTTCTAAATTACTTCTACTGTAATTCTTATTAATTCAAATAGTCTTCTAAGCTGATGTAAAATTCAGTAAACGCAAGGAACAGTTTAATGAATTGAAAATAGGATTGAGTCTTTTAAAGTAAATGTAAAAAAATATGCTGGCAATAATTGCTTCGATGGAAATCGAATCTTAATAGCTTTGTTAATGATTTGTAGGGAATATTGCGTTTATGAGAACATATCAAGCTGATCCTTGTGCAAGAACCTTGTTTTGAATGGGTTTGATAAAATTATTCCCCAGAAGCAGTTAGTAATGTTTAATATTTTTGCTTGAACCACTTTGGAGATGTTTGATTTCATTGATGCCGGGTCTTGGCTGTGGCTGTGCAGGGCTGCTCCAGCACCTCCAGGGCAGCATGTGGCACAGGCAGGGCAGGGCTCTGCTGTGATGGCCCTTGGGGTCTGCACAGTGGTCAGGGATTTGAGAACAGAATCATTTAGGCTGAAAAAGCCCTCTAAGATTGAGTCCAGCCGTTAACCTGTGTCCCCAAGGTTCAAGAACACCACATTAAGGGTGCTGGTAGTGTGTTGGGGTGGCTGAATGCTCATCTTGTGATCAGAGGGCTTTGGGCAGGACCAGCTTCCTCCTGATGCCCAGAGTGTGGTGCAGGAGCCAGGCAGAGGTCTGGGACAGGCCCCTCTTGAATGGGGCTGGTTGTCTGTGCTCCAATACGGGTGTTACTGTTTGATAGTAAATCTTCTTGCTGCTCCTCAAAGTTCATCAGTCTGGAGAATCTATCTAAAATTTATACTGAGAGGGCAGAAAAATGTGCCCAGACTTCAGCTTTCTGCCCATCAGGTGTGGAGAGGAGTCTGATGCATTATCAATCTTTCTCTTTCTCTTATGCACCTTTTTGTCAAACATTTGTTTCCAAGGGACGTCAGTTGTAAAGGCAAGTTGGAAAGAAAGATAAATGAAGGACATGCAGGGTGAGAGAAAAACTGGGGTTTAAATATGATCTCCAGATTTCCTGTGTGCAGACTTTGTCCCAATCCTGCGTTTTTGGGGTTCTGGTGGATTCTCTGAGCACCCAGCCTGTGGCATCCTGGCTTCATTTGGAGCATTGCCAATCAAAGTCTCAGTACCTCTCCCACTTTGATTCCCAGGAGTTATGGAAGAATTGAAATGCAAGGCACAGTTCCCAGTGCCGTCCCCCATGTCCTTTGGTGTTCAGGGCAGATGTCTCAGCGTGCCTCGCCTCATTAGGAGGAGAGTTTTGGGGTGGTGACCTGTAAATGATTACAAGGCTCCCACGCCATAATTGCACAGGATCCTTTTTTTCCCCTGCCTCTGGACATTAATAGCACCTGCTGATTACACAGGGTGGGTAAGGACTGATTCCCTGAAGTCTGCCTGCTCCAAAGGATGAGTGCTTTTTACAGAGGGTTGTTCCTTCGAGTAATTTAACAAGATTTTTCTGTTGGGAGAGAAAGGGAATTTTTGGTGTTCTGTGTGGGGCAGCAGTCCTTATTCCTCTATTCCCATCACAGAGCTCCTTTCTCATTGCTCCTTTACCAGCTGGTTGGGGACCCGGAGTCAGTGGCTCACTGGCTGATGTTCCTCCATTGGTGGCATGGAGCTTTTCATTCCCAAGTGAAACCCACTGGTGTCATTTCTGCCCTTGAGTCCTGCTTTGCTGTGTCCTGCAGGTCATGGTCAGAACCTGGTGACAGAGGATGTGACCGTGGTGGAGGGGGACGTGGCCACCATCAGCTGCCGCGTCAAGAACAGCGACGACTCCGTGATCCAGCTCCTGAACCCCAACAGGCAGACCATCTATTTCAGAGATTTCAGGCGTAAGTTTATGGTTCCTCCTTTGGTCATGACTCCTCCTGTGCCTCACATGGGCTCAGGACACGGCATTTGCTGAGATCCCTCCTGTTTGTGCAGTGCTGGGCACTTACAGTTCACTGGTTCTGTGCAGGTAGGTGAGATAGACAATCATAATCTTCCCCTTAATGGAAAACTTCACAGTCCCCTCTAAAAGTCAGAGCATCTTACTTTGCAATGGGAATTGATTGTTGTAATTCAGGGTGAATTGCAATTGAATGCCAAATATTTAGCTGACACAAACAAATTGAGCAGGGCGACACCGAGACAGCGCAGCGCTCTCAGGAGTAATCTCTTCAGACCAAAGACTGGAAATTTCAGGACAATCTGTGCTGCTTTATACCCAAACAGAAATCTCTCATCACTTGCATGTCCAGTGGCTATGTCTGCCCTGTGGTGACAGTGCCACAGTGGCTGCAGTGAGACACTTTAAGTGGTCTGTGTTAGTGTCACTGTGGGGACACGCCTGTCCTCTCTGCCCAGGAAGCAACGGGACAGGAAAAAAGCTTTAAATTCTACTTCTCCCAATTCCTTCCTCGTTTAGGCTGTCCCTGAGTGCCTGCAGTTGGTGGTGGGGCTGTATAGACACCATAAGCATTTCACCTACACATCCCTAAGCCACCTGGTAATAAAACTGTGTCCAAAGATTTGATGCTGTGCCCTGTGATTGGCTCATGTTGATTATTGAGAACCAAAAGATTTTGTAGGTCCAGCTTCAAGGTAGGAAGCAGCTAATGAGGAGCCCAGGGGTGCTCACCTTGACGTGCTGCTGTCTGTGGGCATTTGGGATTGTGGTGGGAAGGGGATGCTGCCCCTCTGTGTGCAGCCACCAGTCTGTGCTTGCCCCACAGCCCTGAAGGACAGCAGGTTCCAGCTGGTGAACTTCTCCAACAGCGAGCTGCGAGTGTCCCTGACCAACGTGTCCATCTCCGACGAAGGGAGGTACTTCTGCCAGCTGTACACCGACCCGCCCCAGGAGATCTACACCACCATCACGGTGCTGGGTGAGGAGCCCTGCAGCCCCTGCACACACAGGGGCACTGGGGTGGGTTCTGTGCGGCACTGGGAGGGCTCCAGCCGCCTGGAGGGGGATGGAAGCACGGACTGAACCCTCAGTGCTGGTGGCCAGGCACGTGTGGCCACGGGAGCAGTGCTGGCAGTGACAGCAGCTGCTCTGTTTGAGCAGTTCCTGCTGATTAGCAGCAGCTTTTAAGGCTCTATTAGTGGGAGAACCTGAATCAGGGAGGGTGACTTAATGTAAGATCTCACTTGCTGATTAGTTTAAATCTTCCTTCTTTTGCTTAATGAGATTTGGGTCTTAGGTTTCTCTGCGTTGTTAAGTGATGTTTATAAGCAGTTTTACTCTTGCTATTACAGTTATCAACACCTTCAAAGTTTCTGTGCACTTCCAGTGCTCACAGGCACAGGAAGCTCTTCCAGCTCCTGCCTCTAATCGTGCACAGGCAAAAACAGTTTGTTGGATTTGATTTCACTGCTGGCAATGCTGAGAAGGTGTTTAAAAGGAGAATACTCATTTCATTCACCTGTAAGCCAGCGCCGTGTGTCTTTCAAGTGGGAGACATAATGCAGGTTTTTGTTGGGTTTTTTTTAAGCATGAATCATGCTTTAGAACTGAGGGAAAAGTCAGTTCTCTTGCCTTGTACTTCAGTTGTTTTTGAGAAGCCTCTGTGTAATGGCCAGAGTGTGTGCTGCCTTTCCCCCACATCCATAAAAGAGGTGGTTTCTTGTCACCTTTGTCATGTTCTCGGGTCAAACCTCAGCTCAGGAAGCAGGCAAGGATGAGGGAGGTTTATCAGCAGAAGATGAAGGAGGGGTCTTAGTACTTGCATGGAGAGATTGGGCACTGTGGCGCCAGGGATGGCTTGTCTTGCCTGTCTTTTCTATTATTGGCTCCCTAATTAGGGGAGCTAATGAGCCAGGGTAGAGGAGTGGTACTCCATGGTGGCTGCCCCTCCCAGGAGCTTGTTCCCCACCAAAAATCTCATGGCCATCACCCAGCCTTTGCCAGAGCTGAAGTTGTATCAAGGACTGATTTTCTGGCCTGCCTGTGATGCTGCCAGCTCGGGAGGGCAGAGGGAGGTGCTGAGGTGTCCCCCTTTGCAGCTGGCATTCGGGGGGAGCTGCACGTTCGCTTCAGCACTTTCATGTCTTCTGTGACACAATATGTAGATTTATTCATGCTTAATTGGAACATGTGAAAGTCTCAAATATGTAGCTCATTCTGTTCTTTTTAGAGAGAAGCCACAAGTGACTAATTAGTCCATTTGATCATCTGGATGGTATTTATACATATTTGTTCTTCATTAGCTTTAAGACCTGTGAGTCACATCTGAACTGTGCAGTTGCTTAATCACATTGATCAGAGCAAAGTTGAGTTTCCTTTGGAAGTTCTGGGATTTTCTGAAGCCGTGACTCTGCCATAAGAGCTCTCGCTGTTCACTTTTTCTTGGGTTTTGCCTTGCTGCTGGTACTTTCATGGGAAAGAGATTCCCTTGTTCCCGTGTCTTAGTTTTTAAGCTCATTTGTCCAATTCCTGGGCTGCAGTGGTTGTTACCCCTGAAGTTACAGCCTCTTTCTCAGTATTACTGGATGATTTTTCATTGGGTACAATCTTCCAGCTTTGTGTTTTGGGAGACTCCAGATCTAGGGAAGATGTGTGCTTGGGCAAAGGATGTGGCACTTCCACCCCAAAGGATGTGGCACTTGTGGCTGGGTGTAGATCCAGCTCCCTCCTCCCTTTGGGATGGTTTTGGGGTGGTTTGTGGGGGTGTGATGGGGGGCAGAGCTGTTCCCAAGGGATGCTGTTCCACTCCAGGCTTGTGCTCAGTGGCTTTTCGAGCATCTTAAATGAGGTTGATGTTTGCTGGCCTGCTTCCATGCTCACGGCTGAGCCTTGGAGCTGAACAGCAGGAGAGAAAAATTGCCGTGGAGGTTAGAGGCTTGGTAAGTAATGCAGTGCCAAGTGTCAGCTTTTGTGTTTCCTCTCCTTGTCAGAGAAGTCAGGAAATGTGCACGGAGTCAAGCTGGATTTTTAAATAGCAGCACACACCCGAGCAGCACAGGAGGCTGCGGCTCTCCCTGGAACCGTGCCTGCCTGGGAGAGGGAACAGAAAGTTACAACCCTGATAAGTAATAATTTGGGAGACTGCGGTGATTATTAGGTGGAGAGTGAAAGTGCTCACTCCAATTACTGCAAAACCACCTATCAAAGGGTTTGATTGATTGAAAGATCAAATAAATGCTGGTTGCTTGTTTCCTGCAGTAGATTTTACAGGTTTTCCTCAAGGTTTTGTCCTGTGTTAGCGATCAAAAGATTTTTTTTTTCATCTGGTTTGTGTTGCGTTTTCCATTCCAGTGCCACCACGCAATTTGGTAATTGATATCGAGAAAGAAACCGCCGTGGAGGGAGAGGAGATCGAGCTGAACTGCACTGCCATGGCCAGCAGACCAGCCACCACCATCAGATGGTTCAAAGGCAACAAGGAGCTAACGGGTAGATGTGTCCTCTCAGTCCCTTGCTTTGTTCAGGGAGCTGAAGTGATTTATGTAACGCTGGGTGTTTGTTCTCTGCTGCCAGTTTAAGGGGAAAAAAAAGTAAGAAAAGTAGAGCGAGCTTCTTTGAGCACCAGCTGAGGAACAAAGGGCTGTGTGGGCAGACAGATTATTCCCTAACACAGGGGGCTGAACTCCATTTGGTCCTCTGCCTACCTGCCAGCCTCGAGTGCCGGGTTCTGGAGTCCTGCTGTAACTGCAGGTGACCTTGAGGAGCCCAGGGCTGTGCACTGAATTCATTTTGCATGGCTTGTGTAGCTTTCTGCCCTGTTTCAGGTACGAGAGGGATCGTCTGCGCTTTGGGCAGGAAAAATTTGCAATTCACCTTCATGTCTAGCTCTCCCTTGTTTGTAGAGTGTTTTCCCTGTGTTCAGTTGAATATTCATCTAAGATGGGTTTCTCTGACTCCCTGAAGTCTGGTGGCTCCCAGTACTTGCACATTCAAGTCACTGACTCTGATTGCCTGTGACACGCTGTTAGTTTAAGTCTGCATGTAGATGTGAGCTTGGTTGACAACACCTTTGTGCTTTACCCAGTCTGAGACGCTGACGGACTCTCTGCAGAAGTCCAGACTCATTACTTCAAACCCACTCCCCTGCAAGGACAGGATAAAATCCTCTATTTAAGCCCAGCACTTCAGAGCATTTGAGCAGGCCACATGCTGGGAGGATGCTGGTACAGGTGGGATGCAAACCTGCTGCCTGGTGCAGTGCTGCCCTGCTGTGTCCCAGCGCCGTGGTGTGCAGGGAGTTAATGATCCTGTTCTGGTTCCCTTCACCGTACCAGTGGGCAGCAGGACAAAGTGTTTGTCCCTTTCTGCCTGAGCTGTGCAGCTTCTTGATTGAGTTTTCTTGTGTTAGCAGTCGAATCCCAGCTTTGAGTTCCCTGGGAAGAATGCTGAGCTTCATGTAATACCTCCTTACCCTGCTCAGTCTTCAGATTTTTTTTTTAACAGAGTAGAGACTGAAACATTTGGCTGTGAGTTTGTGAATCACAGGAAGTGTGGCTTTGCCCATGGGAAAGCTTTTCCTCCAAATATCAAGGGGTGTCTGCATGTGTCACCTGTTTCACTCTCATATATTATACAGCAATATTTGGTGTCTGGAAGGGCTCTGCTACAGAAGTTACTCTTAGCAATTTTGCCTGTGAATTCTTAAATAAAGAGGCACAGATCAGAGCGGAGCTGCGCTGTCAGCGGGCGCTTGCTGAGTTCCTGGGAAAATCCTTTTTCTGCTGTCTTGTCTCGTCTCGTTTTGTCTTGTCTTCCTGCTTGTTTCCATCACGGCATCCCTCAGGCAGCCAGTCCCGAGCTGGGCTCCCCTCCCTCAAACAGAGCACTCCCACCTATCCATGCTGCTTTTAATTAATTTAATCTGTTAAATCGCTTTTGTAGCTGATTGTTGATTCAGGAGTGGGAGGGGATTTGTAGCTCATTGATTTAAGAGTTTGGGGATCTGGGGACGGTGTTAATCATTGCAGTAACATCGCGCGGACTTTGCTTGGCCGGAGGCTGGCAGAGAGGAGGGGATGGGTGTCCCAAGGGAGGGTGGGCAGGAGGGAGGCGGCCTGGCTGCAGGGTGCTCCCCCTGCCCTCACTCCCTGCCCCTGTGCTCCCTGCCCAGGCAAGTCGGAGGTGGAGCGATGGTCGGACATGTACACGGTGACCAGCCAGCTCCTGCTGAAGGTGGGCCGCGAGGACGACGGCGTCCCCGTCATCTGCCTGGTGGATCACCCTGCTGTCAAAGACTTGCAGACACAGCGTTACCTGGAAGTCATGTGTGAGTAGCAGAACCCTTCATTCTCTTCATATATATAAAACTGTGTGCTTGGGAGTTCAGCAACCATTTCCTATACGGTCAAATTCCAACATCGATAAGGATTCTATCCTGTTACACAGAAATCATGTACACAATGTGAGGTAAAGACTTCATGGGTGAAGCCACGACTTTCCCAGCCCTCTCTGATACCATAAATACTTTGTTCTCTGATGAAATAACTCTCTGTACATAGAATTTGCATCAAAGGTTTCTGGCTGGGCTTTTTAATTGTCAGAACAGATTAAATCTGAGTATTTTTCTTCTAGCAACCTGCTTACCTCTGAAAAGTGCTTCTCCCCCTCAAAGGAACTGGCCACCCTGGCGAGTTTACTGGAAAAAACTGGGTATTGTGCAAGAGAAACCCAGTGTTGTGCACTGTGAACATACAGCATCGGCTGGATTTGTACATCAGAGAATGGAGCTCTGTGGAATCTGTAGTAGCAGCACTGATTGAAGCCAGCCTATTTCCTGTACTGCTCCTGACATGTTCATTGTTAATAATGCATCTCACTTCCCTTAGGACCTGCTCCACTGTACATGACAGCAGCAAGCAGGTACCTGGAAATAGCTGTGGTCCCAAATGCACCTGGTGGAGATTTTGGAGTGTGTACATGCATCCCTGCATTCTGAAACATCTCCCAAAAGCAAAGTGGGGTGGTCCCTACAGCGAGGCCGTGTGCTTGGAAAGCCAGGCCCTGAGACAATTCAAAGCCCTTGTTTTTGTAGGGTCCCTTCAACTACATCACACTGAAAGGAGGAGAGGAAGTTTGGTAATTATTTATTTCATCTGCTTCATTATGTAGTTTCATTATGAACATCTTGGTTACAATTCTCGTATCTCTGAAACTAGCGGGAAGTAATGTTCCTGTAATGAGGAAAACAGGAATGATCAGATACTGCCTAAATTGACAGATACGAGATTTCTTGCGACTGTGCTAATGTGTAATTCATTTATGCAAACTTAATGTCCATTAACATTTCTTGCAGAGCTCCATTAGCTTTAATAATACATTAACACCTTTGTGAGGCGTGATCAAATACTTAACGGGGAAGAGCAAGAAATGCCATCTACCCTGTTGTGTGAGGGGATTGGAACTCACTGGGCTGGAAGGGCATTGGACAACCTTGAGGCTTCCTCTCAGAAATCTCTCTGCAATCCTGGTGATTTGGTGGAATAGGACAGTGCCACTGTTTCGGGGGGAATAAAGCGAATATTTCATCTCTTCTTCCTCAAATCAATCCCTCCTTGGCCACTTTGGTTTGCAGCCTTAGGGGTTGCCCATGCAATGAGGGCAAAGCACCCCTAAAGCACAGTTCTTTGCTCAGCTCCTGCACTGGAGGCCCTGCTGGATCCTGTGCACAGGTTTCTGCCCTTACTGCTGATTTTTGCATCTCCTTGGGCTGTTCCAGAGCTGTTTGTGGGAATGAGGCACGGATCCTCCTCGGGAGGGAACAGGGATGAGCAGGAGAAGGGAGTTCAGACTGGTTTGGTTTTATGTTCTGATTTAAACTCTGAGCTTGTTAAAAGTAATTACGTTCCAATGTGGGGACTTGACCCCGTTAGCCCAGTCTGTTCCTTGAGTGGGCAGCAGCAGATGGCCAGAGAGGAGCCCCAGCCCAAGAACTTGTCCTGCATTGTGACCTTGTGGCTCGATGGTCTGGAGCTTGGCCAGACACCTGCATTTCATCCCTGCTGCAGGGCTTTAGCTTGAAGAAAAGGCAGTTTCAGAGCAAACTCTTACCCTGGAGCTTCTGCTGTCTGGCAGTGATGATTTGTTGGCCAGTGGGAGAGTGTGGCAGGAGGAAGAGCCTCTTGTCCTTGCACACAGGCGTCTCCATCAGTGCTCCCACAGAGCTCTGCCCTTAGGCTCCTGCACTGACACCTTCTCAGCTGATTTTGGATGTGGAATGTGCAGCAGGGGATGCTTCCCCAGCTCCTGTCTGTGCCTCCACTGTCCATGGCGTGTCCTTGCAGGCACCCGGCTCCCAGCTCTCTGCTGCAGTGACCCTGGGAATTCCTGGCTCATCCCGTGTGGATGTAGCTGCTTTCCCTGCAGCAGCTCAGGTACCTGGGCTGCCTGTTCCACTCTCTGCTCTGATGTTCCTCTCCCCACAAATCCTGCCCGCTCCCCTCATGGGCACAGCAGATCCGCCCCTTCAGAACATCAGCAGGGCACAAGAAAATGTTTTTCTCAGCAGATGTCGTATTTCTCTGCACTTAATGTATCCAACTGGAGCATGAAATGTGTTGGGGAAGGACAGGAGGATGATGGATGGAGCCTGCTCAGATAATGAGGTATTTTTTATCTGACTAAATTTCAGAGTAGGGAGATATTTTTTCTGAGATGCAACTAAAAAGTTGTGGGGTTTGTTTTCCAAGAAAAAAAAGCAGAAAACAACAATGCTGGGTGTTAACTTGCCCTATTTATGGAGTAAGCCATTTACTGCATATCTGCCCTGGCACAGCATGGCCCGTGGTGAAGTTGGAGGTGAATGCCTTCCCGTGGCTGTAGGGTGTGTTACTGAAAAGAAATCTCTGTGAACGAGCAGGGTGACGTGTGAAACCCTGCCCTAGCCCCTCTCAAAAGCAAAGCGGGGCTGGGCTGAGAGCGTGCTGCCCTCACAGGGGCCACAGCACCCCATGCCTGAGGAGCACCCTCACCCTGGCAGGCACGGTGGCACTGGAGTGGGAACGTCCCAGCTCTGCCGCAGCCGCTGCGTTCCTGTGGATCCCTCAGTGAGCGATGGGAGACCAGTGCCTTGGGTGTAATTTTAGAAAGGAAATGGAGCAACAAAATGCATTAAAATGTCGTTAAGGAGCTGAATGGAACCAGATATTCTGGGAGACGTGCGAGTTGAGCCCTTGCTGCTCTCATTATGTGACACTGGAAGCGAGCGTCGGACCTGGAGTTTGGCCTTTTCTCTGGGCTGGCTTTTTGTCCTTTTCTGAAGTTATAATTACCTGTGCATTCATTTTTGTAATACCTACTTGTGTACCTTTAAAGCCTGCCTCAGTGGAGTCCTGTTGCAGCCTCTGCTGTTGCGACAGGAGAACTTTTTGTGCCCAATTGTGTTTAAAATCAGCCACATACATTTGCTGCTGCATCTCCAGTAATCCTTACATTTCCGTCCAGTACAAATATTAATTGCATAGTTTGCAGTGAAGTTATTAACATCAATGTAATTTATCATCTGGAGATCGCTAAAAGCGAATAAATGAGTTGTTTTGTTCAGCGAGGTGTTGACCCCTTCAGAAACTTTGATTTAAAGCTGTTTTTTTTTCTTTTAGTGAATATGAAAAGCACCACAATCAGCCGAGTGTTCAGTTATTTGATTTTCTGGGGCATTAGCCACTCTTGTTTGTGACATTTCCCAGTTGGGTGCTCGTTTGTGAGCTCATTAATAAGGTTTTCTCGGAGGAATGTTGTTGGGAGCACGGAGCGTGTGGGGCGACCAGGGCTCTGCCATTTGCAGGCATTAAGCAGCAGAGTGTGCTTAAATATTAAAAGAGAAGTGTTTATCCCCAAAATGCCTGTCGGGCTCTGGCATTCCTTTTCCTGCAACAAGCAACATGATTAAATTGCTTTCGTTAAGGGTGAATTTTGCAGAGTCGTGTTTGGGGTTGACAGGCTCTTCCAGACAAGCTGTGATCTGCCAGTCCTGCTCATTCCTTATTTTAGACACGGGATCTATTTATTGAATAGATTTCTGTATTTTGGCTGAAAATCAGCAGTGCAGCCTCTCGTCCTTGTCAGAGGTGAGGAGCAGGCAGGGGATTGCCAGGCTGGGCTGGCTTTGACGCAGAGTGCATTCCTGATCAGCAGCCCCACTGGATATTGCAATAAAGGTGGCTGTTGTTTACACCTGAGGATCAGTGTTAACGTTGCTGACTCCTTTTAATATTGAAAAACACATTTTTCCTGCTCTTCCCTGAGTGAGATCAGAGACTCCCACAAGTCAGTTTTTTGAGCAGCTCTCTTTGGCACAGAAGAGAGCAGGGATGAGGAGCTGGATGAAGCAATGCCCACCTGAAGGGAGATGTGCTAAGCATTATCTGGGAAATGCTGAGGCTGGATTTACCTGCGGTGGGCAGGAACGTGGCTTGGCCCGTGGATGCTGCTCCCAGGGATGCCATCTGGCGTCAGGTTTGCCAGGAGGTACGTCAGCAATTCGTGCAGGGATCAGAAAACGGATTTTAAACTTGGACCCGGCCGCTCCTCGCCTGGCAGGGGCCAGAGCCTGCTCGGCTGAAGCACTGGCAGAGCCCACCTTGGCCGCTCCTCTGCCGGCTGGGGCCTGGCACTGCCAAAAGCGCCACGCGCTGGTTTCCCAACCCTTGGGAAGAGCTTCTGGCTGTTTCCAGCCCCACAGGGAGCGTGTCCTCTGGGCAGGGTGCGCTGGGCTGTGCCCAGGGGTGCTCAGCGAGGGTCCCACGGCCGAGCCCCAGAGCATCCCTGGGAGCCGCCCCTGCCAAACCTGCCTGTGCAGGCTGGGGGCAAGGAGCTCGCCTGCCTGGGCTGGCCTGATGAAAGGAAACGGGTGGAAATAATAGGCTTAGGCTTTTGTAAGGCCCCGAACTCGGTGTAATGTTTTATCTCGGCTGATTAATGACATCTAAGCATTATCGATGAAGTGCATGTTTAAATGGATTAAGAAATCACTAACTGGCAGATCTCAAAGGATAGTCATTAGGGAGTAATCAGCAGTGCTGGTATTTTTAGAGGGAACGCAGGGGCCTGGGTGCTTGGCCTGATGCTGTTCAGTTGAAGCATTTGAAGTTCTTAAAAAGTCACTGTTAATAATCTTTGCTGATGGCACAAAAATGGGGCGAGCAGCTAAAAAAGGAAGAACTGGGACAAATGCAGAATAACTGGAGTGGTTTGGTAGGCTCCCAAGCAGGGAGCTTGAGAGCTGTGAAAGTCAATGGGTACTGGCTTCGGCGGCCAGTGGCATCCTGAGGGGAGGGGAGGGTTTTGGGGTGCATGGTCCCTCTGGGGCTGCAGCCCCCAACAGACCCCAGTGCATGGGCACGCGCCATGCCTGTTGTGAGAGAAATCTCATCAAACACAGAATGGCTTTGTAATAAGTTTTTCAAATTGGCTGCTGCTACAGTGTAACCTTTAGACGACTGGTATTTAACCTTGTATATCACTCTGAGCTTTTGAATGAATTTAGCTTAATAAAGGTGCCTTATTAAATTACGAGGCTGTTTTTTTTAAGCTGCTAGAAAGAGGCGTAGTAGGAAATAGCTGTGGGTTGTTGGGTCTAATTGGCTGCCATGGAGCATGCAGGGCCTCGGGTGCACAGATGCAAGTGTTTATTTTTATGTAACAATCCAGTGGTGTGATGCTGTGAAGTTCCAAGCTGAGGATTTTTGGGCGCTGGTGAAAGCTGCCACTTCTTGCCTGGTGTCCTGTGTTACTGTCCGAGGTGGTCATCACCCCACGTCACAGAGCTGCAGACAGCACTGCTGGAACGTGTCCTGTGGAGCAGGGGCAGACGGCTGGAGCATCCTTGGAGCCCATCAGAGCTCTGTCCGTGTGCTGCTAAATGTCACAGGAGCCGGGCTCGGGCTCCCAGGGCGCTCGGCATTTCACAAACCTGCGCTCCGAGTCCATCATCTGCAGGAAATACACTGACTTGCTGTGAGGCAGGTGTGAGCACTGCAAGTAGAATTTAAGATTGTCTAAAAGCACGTCCTTAAACAAAGGGAGAAAGGCACCACTGCCCCTCCAGATTCTTGAGTGGAATTTTTATTTCATGCTATGAGCCTAATGCCAGCCAGTCCTCTGGAGTGTCCAGCCCTCCCTCTGCATCCTTCAGGCCCAGGTACATTTTCCTAATGCCCTCTGTAACTCCCAGCGTGCTGACAAGTCCTTTGCTGTGGTAACTCTGTTGGGAAGTTCTTGGCTTCAGCAGTGTTGACACATGTGCTGATAAACCCAGATTCCTGTTGCAGGTGACACCTCCACAGTGCCTGGATCCAAAGGGGCCGGGTCCACCTCACTGCCACTCTTGGTTTGATGAAGCTCCTGGGGCTGGGAAAGTGGCAGTGGAAGGGCTCACCCAGCTTGGTGGGAGCTCATGGAGCTGGCAGTTTGTGCTCAGTACAGTGAGCCTGGGTGTATTCCTCCTCATTTCCATAAGTAATTGTCATTAGTAAACAGCTCATTAGAAATACTAAACTTACCTAATGGGAAGGGGATGCAGCAGGAGAGGCAGACAGCTAAAGGAGGTGTTTCAGTCCCCGTGTGCTGAGTAAACTGGGCTGGGATGTTTCCTGCTCCTCCCACAGCATGGATATTACACCATCCATGTTCTGGCACGGGCTGGTGGTGCTGCTGCAAGCACATCAGAAGTGGGGAGCAGATGCCGTGGGGTGGGAATTGTGGACAGGAGTGGTGAGCTCAGTGCCAAGGATGTGGCAGGTGATTTATTTGCTGCATAACACCAGGGTGAACTTGTCCTGCCCTGGGACTTGTCCCCTCCGCTGGTGACACCCCAGAGTGCTGCCAGCACCCCCAGCCCACAAGGACACCCCAGCTCCAGAGCTGCAGGAAGCATCTGTAACAGGGATTAGTTGATGAAATGTTGTGGTAGTGTCATCTCAGGAGAGGATTTACTTGTGTAGCTTATTCCATTACTGAAAATTATGAGAGTTTAAATTGGTTAAATCCTGACACGCGGGTTTTTTTTCCTAATCTCTATTATTCCATAGGAGGCATGTTAATGAGTTAAACACAGTTAATAAAATGCAGCCAGCCAATATTTTGGGTAGCAGTTACTCTCAAAGGAAATAGAAACATTTAAATGGTTTCAACCTTTATGCATACTGATTTTTTTCCTTCCTTTGTTCCTTACAGTTGAGTAAATTCCTGAAAAATATCTGTGGCTTAATGGCACTTGTAGCCTTGAATTGATTTCCTGCACTGATAATGTTTTAGCTACAGCTCAGATTGTGTTTTTAATCTCTGTTTCAGTCATGGGAGGTAATGAATTTTTTAATTGTGGACTCTAGGTTTGTGGTTTTGGCTCTTTTTTTCCTGCAGGGTCTTACTAAAGTGTTGTTGAGTTGGCTCCCTAACTATCCATGCTTTAATTCTCTGTTTATTGTAGGATTTACAGGAGCTTCATCCGGACAAAACGCAGCCTCCTGTTGTTTACCCAGAGGCAGGGGTGGCTGTGGCTCTGTTTGTGTCTCTAACCAGCATCTCTTGTCCAGCACAGTTAGCATTCGTGGACTCTGGGGCTGTGGTGCAGGAATCGCTGGTACCCCACCCTTCCATCCCGGGCCCCGCGAGTCTCTGCAGCTTCCCCTCAGCACAAGGACGAAGGAGTTCTCTCAGCTGGAGCCAGCTCAGGGACGAGCTGTGCAGCAGGGCCCTTCCTGGGCAGCACGGGGCCGTGGGGACTCGCGGTGCCGCCAGCCCCAGCCGCTCCCGCTGCCGGCACCGAGCGGGCACAGGGGCACGACCCGGGGCTCACCTGGCGTGTTTTGTGTCCTGCAGATAAGCCTCAAGTGCGGGTTTCTCAGAATTACCCCTTGCAAGGCCTGACGAGAGAAGGGGAGCCGCTGGAGCTGACGTGCACGGCCTTTGGAAAGCCACAGTAAGTTGGACCCTTCCCAGGGTGGGCCGGTGGTGACGGGACGTTGTGCGGCCACTGTTCCTGTTGCCATTCTCTGCTGTGAAGACAGTGTCCCAGAGCGAAGGAGAGAGATGCTTCCTGCACCCAAACAGCTGCTGGACTTGCATTTATTCCTGTGCACCTAATGGCCAAGGAATTTCTTCTGGAAAGCTCCTAGGAGAGCTCTTCCTGGCCACCATGCAGCAGCCTTCGGGTGCAGCAAGGCAAGGCTCCCACCTGGACACCTCTTCCCCCAGGGAATGGCTTAGGTGGCATTAATCTGCAATTAATCATGGGTTTGGTTAATCTGCAAGAGCAAGGTTGGGAGCTGCAGCTGTGGCCCCTGGAGGTGCCGGTGTGTGGACACCCCCCAGCACCACAGCACTGGGCCCTTGGGGAAGTGGGATGGATCCCCAGGTAAGGCAGTCCGTCCTGCTCAGACTGACTGTGTGATGGTTTTGCTTCCCCTTGGTGCCTCGTGTGGTTTTTATAGAATACCAGTTTTATTCTCTCTCCTCTTCTTGCCAAGCCCTTGAGGCTTTCTTAGGCAGTTGAAGAAATTTATGCATCAGGAAAATCCTGGCAAGGGAGGGTAGATTTTCTCACACTTTCATTGCTGTTCTAATTTAAGTTTTGTCGGCTTTATTTTTTTTTTTTCAAAATACTTTCTCTTCCACTTGGATCTATGGCTGTCAAGTATTTACTATCCTTCCTTATTTTCATCATGTCCATGAGATTTCTGCAAACATCCCTGAGATCTGTCAGTGCCTCCTTGGCAGTGTGCCCAGAGCTGGGGCGTGGGGAGCTGGAGCCCGTCCAGCTCGGCGTTGTGGGCAGGGCAGGCACCAGCGCCGAGGAGGCTCAGGCTGCCCTCATCCTTCCTCCCTGCCAGCCTGCATCCCCATCCACAGGATTTTCTTGGTTCCCATAGTACTCGCTTGATTCCCAGTTCCCAGTTTGTTCTGCTGGGCACGAGGGCAGTCCCTTCCCCGTGCATCAGGGGCTGGCACGTCCCTGCTGGGTTCTGTTCAGTAGCTGTTCCCTGCTCAGAGCCTGCCAAGCCCCTCTGCATTCCTGCTCCCCCGGGTACCTGCAGTGCCTCCCATTTGCTGTCACCTGGGAATCTAATGAACAGGCTTCTCTACATTTTTTCCTTGCAGGCTATGAGTAAGACATTCCCATGTTAAATAGGACAGACACATCTCCCTGGCAGCTTGCTGCTGCACGTTTCGTGGTGCTGGTGATGTGCTGGGAATTGGCTTCTCTAGGTCACTTCACCTGGGTCTCCCAAAGCTAAGAAAATACACAGTAAAATAATCAGCTGGGTTTGGCTCTATCTTTTTAAGACAAAGAGTTTTCATGAAATCTTTTACAGGGGTTTTAGATGAAGGGGGAGTTTTCTCCAGTTAAGCAAAGTAATTTCTGTGCAATATTTGGCAACATAAATATTGGGGGAAGGAAGCTCAGAGGGCAAAAAAGACTAGAGAGGAGAAATTTCTATTTGGTATTAATACAGATATTTTGTTAGATTAGACACAACCCCCTAAAATTATGACAGAAGTGAGAAGATGCTGAAATGGTCACTTGTGAGGCATCCAGGGACACTTCTCTGAGCAGCAGCTGCTGTGTCGTGTACCACCTGGGACTCCACAGCACAAAGAGCCCTTTAGAAACGGTAGCCAGGAGCATTCAAACCCTTCCCACCCCTACCAAAGTCAAACTGCATTTGGGCTGTCTCAGGAGCTCCTGCTGCCCACACTGTGCCTCGTGTGCCGATTCCATGGCTGCGAGGGACAGAACACCAAACCTGTGTCCAAAACCAGCCAGCCAATGCCCAGCTGAGTTTGCTTGGTGCTGGATCCATGCAGTAGCTGAGTTTGCTTGGTGCTGGATCCATGGCTGGGATGTTGAAGCATCAGGAGCTTCTGCAGCATGGCTGTCATGTACTGTTTGGACCCAGGGAAGAGCCTGAGCCATGGGATGCCTCTAGCAACATGAAGTCCCACTTGCCAGCCTTGGAGCCAGGCAGGCTGAGCAGTGCTGTGCTGCAGGAAACTCCCCTTTAAGAGGAGCTGAGTGGCCTGAACAATGCTGGAATTTTCTTGTTGAGAAAGAGCTGATCTGTCCCCTCACTGCTCTTAAAGACGTAATAATAAGAGATGCTAAACATCCCCACAAAGTCCAAAGACTCCCCCCTGCAAAGCCCTTCAGTGCTTCCAATCTTTACCAGCTCTAACAGCCCAGGCTCATTTCATTCCCTGAATGATGCAGACCCCCTGCCCACGTGGGTTCCATCAGTGTGGGATGCAGGAAGGGGCTGCCAGGCGGGCTGGGGGACAGGAGAAGGGCTGGAACTCCCTCAGTGCACAGCACAGCCCCTGCTGAGGTCACTGGGGCCCTGGCAGCTTGTGGAAGGGTTCAAACTTGACAAAACCTTGCTTGTTCTGCTGTCCAGCTCTGCCCTCAGAGCACCCCGTGGATGAACACTGAGTCTGTAGCCTCAGAGCTTTCAGGTTTGCTGAGTAAGCAAATGATTAACCACTAATGAACTTTCTTCCTGCTTGCATTAGTGTTTTCAGAAAATTTAAGCTCTGGATACAGTTTCCTGTTGGGTTTAAATAAATTTAAATTGAGGAAGCCCGACAGCATCTGGGCTTGAGTAGTGCAAAAAAGTATGTGTTGTTTCTTTACAGTTTTTCTTGGTTTGGGCTTTCTGTCTGTGGATGAACTTTTGAAGATGCCATCTTGACCATAGGAAAATAGTAATGTGACTGTTTCTTTTTCTCCCTCCTCTGTAGGCCTACGGACATGAGGTGGTTAAGAGTAGATGATGAGATGCCTCAACACGTTGTAGTGTCTGGTTCAAACCTTCTCATTAGTAACCTAAACAAAACAGATAATGGTACATACCGCTGTGAGGCTTCCAACGCGGTGGGGAAATCACATGCGGATTACATGCTGTTTGTATACGGTACGTGAGAAAAACCACCGTTCTTCTAGACTCCTTTACACCTAATTGCAACATGCCCTGCTTGGAAAGCTGTGACAGAACTTAACATTTGCTCAATGCCAGATTTGCAGGCAGCTCCTGACGCCCCGACGCTGTGCTGGGCTGGGCAGGGGCTGGGAAGGCACCGGGTGCTGCCGGGGCTCTCGGTGCGTGCATCGGGCACAGAGCCTGCCCCAGCTCTGGGAGCTCCCACCCCTGCTGCCAGGTGAAGAAGCCTAAGGAACAGCCAGAGCAGGGGCGTGGGGAGAACTGCGCAGTTCTCCTTGGACTTCTCACTGATTTCTTGTCCTTCTGGTAGCGCCTCCTCCAGTGGCCTGAGCAATGGTCCGAGGGGTTCTGAGCCTTTCACTAGCCAGTTAATCAGCCAGCATCCCCAAATAATTACAAAGCAGTAAATAAACTGGAGGAATGAGGTGCCTTCAGCCTGTCTGTGTGGCTGGGCAGACACTAAAACATGCCTCAGCATCTTTTAAAGCGCTCTTAAGTACCTGCTTCAATTCTTCCTTTCCTCTGCGTTACCTTGGCATTGCTGTGAACCTCATGCTCCTGCCGTGAGGTGTTCCATGGAATGGAGATTCAGGAGGCACTTGCAAAGCGATCCCCCAGTTTAATGATGAGCTGCTCCTTGGGCTGCATATTTAAACTTTCTCTGTCAAGGGCGGTTGTGTGTGGCTGGGCTGAGTTCCTGGTGGGTCTTGGTCATTTCTGACCTGAACAATGCTACGGTTCCACTCAGGTGGGGCAGAAACTTGGTTTGAGGTTTGTTCCATGCAACGGCCACCTGAAGCTCTGCAGTCTGAGCTCTCTGGTAGTTGATCCAGTCAAAGAGTGGAGAACCTCCCATTCCTCTCCAAATGCCAGCTCTGCAGGAGTGGTTTTAAGCCCAGTCTTAGAAACTCGCCTAAGGACTCAAGGTAGTGACAGATTTGAGCTTATACAAAACTGATGTACCCCATCATATAGGTAATTTTTGTAGTGCCTCTCGCTCCACAAGACTCCAATTTACAAAATGAAGCTAGATAGGCATCTATGATTGGTAATTTGCATGCTCACTATATAAAAAGCCCACTTGTTTACATCAGTGTTGAAAGAAACAACCAATGTTGCAGAGAGCAGAGCAGTTGGAATAGGACACAGGCAGTTCCCCACGAGATGGAGACCATGAAAGCTGCTGCCATAAAGCAGCTGTGGGGTGGGTGTAGTTCTGTGTACCCATCCTAGGCCAAGGCAGGGCTGGGGAACCTCCCCAGCATTACTGACCTGAGGTTTAGAGCTGGTGGGAAATCTCACATAATTACTCTGCATTTTGGATGTGAGCGATAATAGACAGCGCAAGACTTCCTTGGGGTTGCTTCCTCTTGGGATTAAATCCCCAGGAGGAGACCCAGGATAGCATTACTTGGAAGGAGATGCAGGTTCCCAGGGGATGGAGACTGTGGGTTCCAGCTCAGGCATCTGGCAGGTGTGTTGTCCGTGTAGAGGAGGGCTGCTCGTGGGCACAGAAGGGTTTTACACACCCCATCACCTCCAGTCCTGCACGTTTGGGACCATCCTGTTGGGCTCTGCCACTCTGGACAGCACAAGGAATCCTTTTAACTCTTGATCTAAAAGGGAGAAGTCCAGCGTGGGGAGGGAGCCCAGAGTGGCTGGGCCGTGGCCATCGCCTCATGGTCACAGCTGGAGCTGCTGCTGAGGGGAGTTCAGCATGGGGCTCTCACCCCGCTCAGGGGTGCAGCACCCACCCCTCTGGCCCATGGCTCCTTTCACCACCACATCTGCCAGTTCCCAGCGGCTTTCAGGCAGTCCCATTCCAAGGGACATCTCTGCAGGCCCAGGGTTTGCCGTGGCTTCGGCAGCGGAGCTGGGCCCAGCCCCTCCCCAGCTGCCCACGTGGGATGGGCTGTGTCATCACACTGACACACACTGGACACATGCTCCTTTCTAAAGTTCATTTTATGCTTTTTGTCCCCGTGGGCGTGGGCAGATACATTGCTAGAAACTTCCAGCTCCATTAGCACTCCAGATTTTTTTTTTGGTTTTTTTTTTCTTGGAGGAAGAGCCCACAGCACAGCCAGTCCAGGCTGGTCAGTGTGAGTCTGGGGGCCCTGCCCAAGCACTGCTGTGCCTCAGCTGGGAGGGTCCCCACCCTCCCAGGAGATGTGCGGGTCAGGAGTGAGAGAGAAGCACAGGGGCTGAGATCCTTGGGATGCAGAGGAGAGACAGTGACTGCTCATAGCACAGCAAACTATGAGGTGATGTTCCTTAACTCTTGGGAAGTTGGATGGAATATAATAATGGTGCAGTATATAATTAAAGTTCAGATATCTTAATTAGGGGATCCAAGGGAGCTCACTCAGAGATAAAAGAGTAGCAGATGTGTTAGTGAGGAACAGCTGACGTGCTACGGAGGAAACCTAAAATCAAAAGCCCATGAAAGGTTTCATGCTCTATTATTGCCGAATGAATCCGTAGTTCAAAGTCTTTCTGACTACTAAGTGCATTCAGTTTGATCATCTGGGCATTAATACATATTTTTTCTTTTACATCTTCTCATATCTACCTTCCTCTGCCCGATAGTTTTGATAAGGATGTGTCCCTGTGTGTAACATCAATCCCGTGACGAGCAGCAGGGTTTGAATCTCAACAGGTCCAGTCCATCTGAGAAATGGTCACAGAGAGAAACATCTCATTAACGATGCCCTAGTAGCAAAAACAAGAGTGTGCAACTGAAATTGTCAGAAAAATATTGACTTTTTTTTAAATTAAAAGATCTTGGTGGAATTCCTCATACCTGGAAATTGATATTCAGCAATGGTGTTGTTCGTTTCTCTATATCCCTTACCCTCTTTGAAGTAGTTTTTAACATCCTGCTGCCGTGTGTTGATAGAGGAAGAGCAGTGAGGTTCAGGGCCCTGGGAAGACAGTGAGATCTGTTCATGTGCTGTTAATGCTCAGGCTGTGAAGCACAGCAGGGCCTCTCACACAACCCTCCCACCTGGGTTTGCAAATGTATCCATAGACAACCACCAAAGCACCACTGTGTCTCTCCTTGTATGTGCAAACTGGTCTTTTTGTTGTGGAAAGCGTGCAGTTTATTTTCCTTATGCCTCTCCCATTCCATTTCTCTCTCTCATTGACTAATTTATGCTGGGTTTTATTTATTTTTTTTTTTTAGCATTTTAGAAGGCAGAAAGGGGGGAGAGGTTGGGGCCAGGTTCTCCAGCCTGGGCAAGCATGGGCGGAGGATCTGGCCCCGCTGTCCCTGCTGGGCTCCCCCCTGGGATTTAGCCAGGGAAGGGTCCCCAGTCCCGTGCTGCTTCTTAGCATCCTTGTTTTCCTCTGATCACGATTGACCGCTGTTGTGTTCTGCTTGTTTTTTTTCTTAATTTGCTTTTTTATTATTTTCCTTTTTTATATTTTATCCAGATCCCCCCACAACTATCCCTCCTCCCACAACAACCACCACCACTACCACCACCATCCCTACCACCATCACAGGTATGGTACCTTCATAACCATTGAAAATGTCCTGAATGTTTATTGTCTTTTATGTATATAAGCAGAGCATGAAGCCTGGGGAAAAACAACAAACCAATCACTTGCAGTATTTTTTTTTTCCCCTCAAATACGCCCACCCACAGCACGAGCCCTGGTCCGGCAGCTCGGCGTGTCAGAGAGTCCTTGCCGTGGGTGTGGGCGTTCCTGAAATGTGGGAATTGTCATGGCAGGAAAAGTGATTAATTCAGTTACTGGTGGCCAGCACTGGGTGCTTCACATGCAGGATGCCAAAAGCCTCAGAGCTCCCTTAGCACGGGCAGTCGTTGCAGCCTCCATCCCGTCAGTACCAATTCCTGAGCAATTTATAGAAACTTTGGTCTGCGGCAGTTCAGTTCGCCTGATGTGCCTCAAGATGCTTTTTCTCATGCCAAGATGTTGGTATTTCTTTGTGATAAGCTTCTCCCTCACTCTCCCAGAAAAGGGAATCCCACCAGTCGTTTTTATTGTGTGAATGCCATCATAGGCCCCTTCTTGAGGAGCTGCCTTTCAGCTTGTGAGATTTTCTGTGTCTTGCAAGAAAAGATGAATAAAAACAACCAGCAAGATCATGACACCTCTGTGACACATCCTCATACCTCCTCACAGACCTGACTCATCAGGAAAACCCTTCTGATTTATTTGTAACCATTCGCATTGTCATTTCTCTGACCTTTCCAATTCCAACCGCTGCTTTTGCTTTTGCTTGCTGCTTTTTGTGGGTTTTGGTTTGGCTTTGTTTTTTTTTTATTTGAGGCAGAGGTGACAAACGGCAGGTGAGGATGGACCATTGAATAGCTAATGGCACAACGTTTACTGTTGCTGTAAACCACCCCTTGTGTAAATGCCTTCACGTTTTATTTGCTTTTATGACGCTGCTCAGCTGACTCTCACCACCCTGCCCAGGGCGTTTCGTGGCTTCTTTTCCTCTCGAGGTTTTTGCCCCCAAGGCAGGCCCCGCTGGCACGGACACGCCGGTGAAGCCTCTCTGCCACCGTGCCTTAACGTGGGCACCATCACCCTGCAGCCCTCGCCGTGCTCTCCTTCCTCCCTGCAGGTGCCTGCGGTCAGCCCAGCTCCAGGCACCCAGCCCAGGCTGCTGGGGATGGCTCTCCCTCTTCCCGTGGTGATGATTTCTGGACCTAACCCGCTTTTGTTTCAGAGGAGGTTTGAAGCTTTCTCGCAGCCTCCCTGAGAGCTGTTGGCAGAGAAGCTCGGCCATGTCCCACAGGCTGTACCTGGATGTGCTCACAGGTTTCTTTCTCTGACGGTAATTGCTCGTGCTTTCAGTGAATTTTGGAAGGCTAAATGGAACCATGTGTTTTGATGCTTGGATAACCCCTTCAGTTAATCTTGGTGCCTGCAAACCTTAATGACTGTCCTTTTCTGGGAGCTGGGTTGTTACCAGCCTGTTGTTTTAGGGATTGCCCCAGCACTGCCCTCCAAAGCTGGTGCTGTGTCAGGTCCCACTGCAGTGCTTGGTTCTTCCCAATAAACAGCGGCTTGGTTGTTTGCTGTCCTGCTGCAGCTTGGCTGTGGATGCTCAGTAGCCTTTGGGCTTTCCTTCACACAGCTTTCCAGTTTTTTTATGTTAAAAATAAGAAGGGGAGAGAGATGGTTCTTGCAGTTGGAAATGGCCGTGTCATCAGCCTGGCAGAGGTCCCTTGGCTAAGGAGCTCGTCACTGTCCAGCATTGCTCTCTCACCTTGGTTTGCAGTGGTGGAGGATCTCAGACTTTGGTGGCAGAACCCAGTGGGTCTCCATTGCCTTCTTGGTGCTTTTCTGTGCTGCCTTTGAACTGCTGAGGAGGCTGGAAAAGTAATGATGTGATATTGCTCCCTGATTCCAGCAGTTCCTGCTCGCGATTTGTCGGAAGAAGATTTACTAATGCTGATAAGGGAAATTATTATTTTCTTCCCTGGCACTGAGTCTTCTTGACATGTGTCTTACCATCCTGTGCCCATGAGTTCAGTGTGCTTTTCCCACCCAGAGCAGCCAAGGCTTCTCCTGCCTCTGTCGTGCAGAGATCTGTGTGTGTGTCCTCTCAGTCAGTGCTCAGGAGCGTGGAGCCACACCAGCGTCTGCCCTTCACTAGTTAAGAGACTTTGTGGCTGGAAAAAATTAGGTCAAATTAACATAATCTGTAGAATTACATAGCAGAGTAGTGTTGGAACACTTTTCAAAGCCTTGAGAGACACCTGATAACTTAATTCCCAACTGCTCCAGGGTTCTTCCTGTCTGACAGAGGAGAGGTGGGAGACACAGGGTGTTCTCTGAGCTGCTGGCAATCCAGGCATCTGGAGCCAGCCCAGTGGAACCCAGTCCTTAGGATGAGGTGGGTTTGAAATGTGCTTTGTTTTGCTTTTGTCCCCCTACTTTTAGTATAACCCTGACGTAGTTCATGTCCCCTGGAACCATGGAGTAGTTCTGAAAAACAATTGTCTTGCTTTAATTGAATAAAACATGGGGAAAGAGGCTGCACTGAAGCAGTTTCTAGCAGGTGACCCTAGAAAATTCTGCCCTTGGAGTTGTCCTTTTGATTTATTGGTTCAGGGAGTTTCTGGGGGAGCTCTTGGAAAGCTGACCTGATGCTTTCTCCAGCGAAGGACAGGCTGAGCAGTGAAGTTTCCAGACACCACGACCTTTAGAGCTTTCCCTCTGTCACTTTAGTGTAGGTGCTTGAAAAGATTTCCTGCGTGACAGCTTGATCTTTTCCACGTATCCTGCAGCAGCATTGATATTCCGGCCATCCTTTGGTGTTTCAGCCCTTATCACTGCCGAGCCCTTTTTTATCAGTTAAATTGTCCTTGTGGCTTTCTTCATTAAGATGTACAATACGATACAGCAGAGCAAACAGCATCATTTGAATTACCCTGGAGTGGCTCCTGGAAATGCTGGGCTCGGGCAGCTGTTGTTTCCTGGGAAATAAAGGTCCTTAATCACAGCCCAGCCCTCACCTCAGGTTTTTCTACCTGTCCCAGCCTCCCCAGGCCACTGGCACGCCCCCTCCCAGGACCAGGGCCTCATCCATAGGTGCACATTTGCATGTCCCACTCTTTCTCCACAGGTGGACTGGCACAGGTGTCTTGGCAGCAGTTTTGGTGAAGACCTGGGGGTGACACGTGCAGGTTGCCAGTGTTGCCAGCCCTGCAGGTGATGCTGCTGGCTCTGCAAAGGCACTGCTCTCCATGCTCAGCAGCAGGCTGGGGGCTCCTGGCGTCCCCCTGGAATGCCTACTTAGGGCATATTTTAAATCCCACTGATCCCTTGGAGTAGCAGGTCTGGGGGTGGGGTGTGTGTTTGTTTCAGGAGGCTGTAACGTTGCAGGCAGTGGTTTTCACTTGAGAATCCCCAGAAGTGCTCCAGCCCCTTCAGTGAATGCATGTGGAAAGGACCAAGCCCATCCTGTGGAAACAGGAGCAGGAGTTCCTTCCTGAGGCTCAGGATTTGTACAAGCCAGGAGCAAGCTCTCTTTGGCTTGGAGGTGTGCAGTGAACTCCAAAGCAGGAGCTGAGAATTGATGCAGAGTTGGAGAATCAGCTCCTGAGCAGGGGCATGTGGTGGTGGAGCTCTCCTGTCACCCACAGGGGCAGGCACTGTCTCCTGAGAAGCACACCTTTGTGTCATCCCAGGTGCTTTAAAAATAACACCACACGGAAATCCGAACTCTGTCAGCAAAAATAAGTTGCAGGTTTTCAGAGCATTTCACGTGTCGAAAAACTTCCTCAAAACAAGAAAAATCACTTTATCCTCAGTAGGAGTTTGTCCTTTCCTAAATACAGCCGGTGGTGTGAAAAGCTGCAGGTGCAGGGGGTTTATTCCAGCAGTGACCCCAGTGGCTGGTGGGCAGGAAGAATGCAGTGCCAGTGATCCTGGTCTCAGATTTCCTTGCAGTGGGTTTGTGGGAGGCAGAGAGGCAGCGTGGGGATGTCTGAAGCGCTGCATCCTGGCAGGATGGTGACATCAGCTCAGGTACGGCCACTGCTGCCTGGGACTGCTGCAGGTGCTGCCCTGATCATGGAATTCAATGGGAAAAGCACATTTATTCCCCAGTCAGCTCCGAGTGGCCAGCTCCAGCGGGGCTGTCTGGACTCTCTCACAGTCTCTGGCTTTGCTGGGGATGTGGGGAGATCAGCAGGAGCAGGAGGGCTCCCGGTTTGCTCTGGGCATTCCCAGCCTGGTGCCGAGCTGTGACATGCTCAGGTGCTTGATGCCACTGTGCAGGGACGCAGCCCAGGGATTTGTTCCCCCAAATTATTTATTATTTAACTTCTGCTTTCTGTTGAAGGTTCTGACTGTCCCTGGTAAAATGTCAAGTTAATTTAAAGATGATTCTTCGCCTTTCTGACATTTTCATCCAGGATGTGTCTGCATTAAAGGGGCTAAAGGCAGAGCTGACAGGCCTGGGACAGGAAATAAAATGAAATAAAATTCAGTCTTTCAGTCCCATGTCCAGCCAGTAGCAGGCAGGACCTGTCATACGTGGCCTTACTTTTGGTGACACAGCATAAGCAGTGCACAAACCATCATCTTGCTGAGCAGAAGCGTGGGTTGTGTGCAAGCTTGGGCATGAAATCAAACCCAAATCCTCCCAAATCTGTATGAAGAAACGTGCAAAAGTATGGCTGGAGCCACTGTGCTAAATTCAGACTATTTTTGTTGTGGTCACAGACAACATCCGTACAGATTGTGATGATTTTTGTGAAACATCTGGTCTGCTAATCAAGCAGTGCCCAGGGCTCACTGCAGCACACCTGGACTGGGGCACTCAGTGCCAGCCTGGAGCCCTGTACGGAGCAGATCAGGGGCTCAGGGACATCTCCACCCCCTGTTAGAGGAGCGTGTGGTGAGGGAGAGGATGGCTGAGCTGAGGGAGGGGACGGATGGATCACTGCACTCTGGTGTTTGAGCCCTCTGCTCGTGCATTGCTGTGGGATGTGACATCCGTGCTGGTGTCCCACAGCAGTTTCAGCCAGAGGAACACTGGGAAGGGTTCTGTAGGTGCTTTCATCAGCCCCAAGGAGCTGAACCAAAGCAGGGATCCGTTTGCAGTGCTGCATGCCATCCCCTCAGGCTGCTCGAAGGCAGCAGCGTGCAGGAATTCACACTCGCCCCGGTCAGTGCATGTGAAGTAGTCTGGAAAATCGGGAAGAATAAGAGCTCCACGCGTCAGGGATCAGATTGGCTTTTGGTTTCAGTTCAGAAAGCAATTTAAAAAGCAATATATTGAATGGATATCTATACTTGCTAAAGCCTCTTTAAATTTAAAAGGCAGCAGCGTGTTTTGCCGTTATTTTGTGGAGGTGCTGCTGTAATTCTGTGTGTGCTCCTCAGCCCCAGCACCAGGTACCTCTGTGAGGCTGCAGCACTGCGGCTGCAGCATTCAACCAGGGGAATTTAATTTTGCTGCTGGGGTTTTAATATTCCTCCATCGTGCTTGTTCTGTTTGAGGCTGTGGACTAATTACGGCCAAGTTTAAAGGGCCTGGTCTGTCACACTCTGCAAACAGTTTGAAGTTGGAGAGAATCCATTTGAGAAAACGAGGAGGCTCAGCAGTGGAGCTCATAACTCTGAGAAATGTTGCCCAGCTGCCTCCATGCAGTAATTTTATAAATATGTGTGTGTATATGTGTGTGTGCCCTTGCGTAGCTGCCTAATGGGGTGGTAAGTGCCTCGAGCTTGGGTGTCATCTGAGTTGTCCTAGCTGGCAGATATTTATTTCTTACAGCCAGTGCTACACAGAAATTCCAATGAAGTGAAATTTGCAGCTTTGTAGAAGCCAATGGTTACTCCTTTGGGTACCTTCTGTAACTATAAACCAGGCCTCTGAGGAGCTTTTGTACATGAAGATTTTGGAAGGCCTTGACATTGCTCTACTTTTCCTGAACAGCGTGTTTAGTTCTTTTCCTGATTGGCATTGGGAAGAGAAGCCTTGACATTAAGGTAGAAAATCCCAGGTCTGTTTGGTTATGTGATTTCCATGTTCTCTTGGCTTTGCTGCACTGGGTAAACCAGCCCCTTCTTCATCACCAGCTTTCCATTTTAAATGATAGCTATCAGCCTTGGGTGATGGTGTAGCATGTTGATGGCTTGGGACCAGAACAGTGCTTTTTTCTGATGGCAGAGCCTTTCCTTGGCTTTGGTCAACATTAGTTAAATCAGGAGTGTATCGAAGACTTCTTGTTGGTCAGCATTTGAGGAGAAGAGATGGTTTTTATTGTAGGACATGGGGCAGAAGGCTGATCCCTGCGGTGCTGTGTGCCTGCCCTGACATGGAAGTGTGTCTGTTCTTGAAAGCAGAGCAGAAGCTGGTGGTACAATCCCAGGATTCAGAAAAGCACCTTTGGAGTTAGGCAGTCCAGCCTGAAGTTGGGGGCTGTGTGAGCAGCAGCACTGCAGGGCTGGGGTGCCCCTTCCCGAGTGAGGAGTGGCAGTGGTGGGACACCCGTGGGTTTACAGGAATGCACTGATTTGGTACCAAAGCACCAGTGACAGCTTTCTCTCCTCTGCCACGTGATGATGTACACACACACCAGTGTCAGCACGTTCGTGTCCTGAGCACTGGGTCGTTCCCTGCAGAGCCCTGGTGTGTGCAGTCCTCCTTCCCAAAGAGGGCTGGGACTGGACAGGACTCCCTGAAAGCTCACTCTAAACTTTAACCGGTCTGTGTTTCCTATTGCAACCATCCAAACCATTTGCTAATCATAACTTTGTCATTCCAGCTGCAGCCAACATGTTGTTTGACGTGGATATTTGTTCGCACTTACAACCGCTTGAGAACTTTATTTTGTGTAACCTGTCGGTCTCTGTCCCCGGACGGGGAAGCGAGATGCACTGTCCAGTTTGCACTGTTTCTTGACTAATAATCTCTTCCAGCACATCAATACAAGTTTGCTTCCAGCAGATTCTCTATTTATTGTAAAAGCTGACATAACTTTTTTTATTTCAGGAAGACAGTAAATTGAGACTATTTATAGATGCCAAGATGCTATCTCAGGAATTAATACTCAGTTTTACAACCCCTTCTAAACAATGGCTTTCCCCCCACCTCCACCACCATCTCCCCTTCCACCATTTGCTTGGTTAAAACAAATGGGGATTGCTACCCAAAACCAAAGCAAAGCCCTGCTCTTGGTCTCCTCGTGGCTTTGGAAGGTTTCCCCTGCAGCCCCCAGGGCTCCCGCAGGAGAACAAGGGCTGGCCTCCTTGAGGGTGCCTTAGATTTGGTTGCCAAGATGAGAACAGCCTACATTGGCAGTGGAAACAGGCTAATGATGGCTTGATAATCTGTTATGCAAATCTTGGTGCAGTTTGTTAAACTGTGCAGGGTTTATTTGTTTTGCTTCCGTAATTAAAGCATGTAGACCTTGTATCTGTAAGTATTATGTATTCCTTGTATGATTCTTGTCTTTGCTGCTGCTTCAGGAATTCAGCCCTGGGCTGTCCTCAGCTAAATTGCCAAGACACAGGTCCTGTTTTTTCCACTGCTGCCTCTGCCCGCGCAGGGCCCAGTCCCTGGGTTGTGTGCCAGCATGTCACAGGGGAAAGGCCGCTGTGAATTGTCTGTCGTGCTGCAAAACCCAAGCTCCAGGCTGCTGTGCGGGGCCACAGGTGCAGCGCTGCTCACCCACGGTGTTACCCACCCAAACACTGCCCGCCCCCAGCCAGGCAGGGCTTGGCCCCAGGATTTGTGTCAGTGACAGTTCTGGGTTGCCAGCCCCCTCCAGCCACTGACCCCTGCCACAGAATGCCTCCAGGTGCAAAGCAAGTGGCCTCCAACAACTAAATAAGCCAGTAAATTGGATAATGTGGTTACATTTGGTTTAGACCTGTTGATGGAAATAACTGTCAGTAAAAGCCAAAAGATTGGTCAGTCTTTTAAAACTGCCTGTTGAAAACTCCTGGAAGAGACAAAGCATCTCTCCATTGGCAAGGCAGTGCCCCCCAAGAAATTTCCAGTGAGATGTAGTCCATATGGAGTAGAGTCAGCTTCAGACTAACCCGCAAAAAAACATCCAGGATATTTTAATTACCCATAGCTGTTCAACCAGCTACCTGCTGCAGCAGAGGGACTGGTAATGTTTGTCCACTGTTGCCAGTTCTAGAACATCTTTTATGCTGATAAAAATGGTTCATCGTGCAGGTGGTGGCTGGGAAGCTGGAGGAGAGGCAGGAGCAGACTGTTCCTGGCCAGGGGTGCTCTGATGAGGCAGTGTTTGAGTGTGTAACAGCAATGTGCCGAGCCTCAGCTCTTCATCCTGCTCTGGAGCTTCTGTTTTGTCCCCACCAACCAAACCGTTGGTGTCGGTGTTCTCCCCTGTCTCCTGTTCCCCTGACTTTGCAACCACCAGTAATTGTTCTGGCAAGGACCTGGAAAAAGAGAAAAATTTACTGTTTTCCTCAGGCTCATAGCTTTTGAACTGGAGGCATGTCTTCTAAACAGTGCAACTCACTTCAAATGCTTTTTGCCTTTCATTTTATTATTGCTTGTCACGCAATGTTCTTTGAAAGCTTGCTCATATATTATCTGTTCCATTTTTTCCATTTTCCCTTTTTTTGCATGCTGTTCCTCCTGTTTCTTCCCTTCCTCCAATCCTCTGTTCCCGTGTGTAGACACAACGGCGACGACAGAACCAGCAGTTCACGGTTGGTATCACATTCCTGTTTATCTTATTTCTCAGCGCTGCTGAGTGGCAAGACAAGCCTGGGAAGGGGAGGCCAAAAAGGGAACTGGAGTCTTCAAGGGAAAACTGTGTTTCAGGTGGACTCATCTCATAAATACAACATGGGTTCTAAGGCTGGAAAGTCTGTCTGCTCTTGTCATTTCTGCTGTGAGCTCCCCAGCTGATCTTCCTGGTGCCAGGCAAGCACAAGCCCCATGGAAGTGGCATCCAGGTCCAAGCAATGCTAATTGCTTCTCCAGCCATTGACTGAGAGAATCACTTCACACATGAAAAAGAAATTAATTTTTTTCTTCTTTCTTTAGGGTTTTTGTTTGATGGGGATTTTTGGGGGTTTTTTTTAAGATTTTTGAGCATTTTTCTTGGATTTTGAGTTAGTTTTTCAGACACAGTATCCAGCGGGTCTGCTGGCACAGGGCAGCACTGGGGATTCTGGGATGCTCCACAGAGGAGCGCTCGCCTCCAAGGTCGGCAGGGAAGTTTGCGTTATTACACTGCAGAAGGAGATTGGGAAAACAAATAGCAACACTTTCCTCTCAGCATAGCAGTCTAGCAAAGTAACCCTTCTCGTCTGCTCGAGGCAGTCTAGCTAACAGCTTGACAGCTTCCTGAGCTTCCTGCATTCCCCGGCGAGCCTACGTACGCTGCAGGCTGGAAGTTGAGCATCCCATTTTTTTGGCACAAGCTTACTTTTCAGCTGAAGAACCAAAACCTCTGACAATTTTTAATTACAGCTAATCCATGTTGGACTTTGTTGTTCTAGTTTCTTTTAACTCTGATAAAATGACTGAATTTTTACTGACAGAAATCCCTAGCACAGAGCACCCATTCTCCTGCCTGCTCCCCTTGAGGTGTTGCTTGGGTGAGGTCAGAGGCAGGACTGAGTGAAGCAATCATTCCGTAGCAATGTGCCATATCGAGTGGAGAGGCTTACACTTCTTATCCCAAATAACTTACCTGCCTGGATGCATTTTCCCACTTGGCATAAAGATCAGAAATCTTCGGGCACACTTGTGTTTTGTCTGTGTGTCAATCTCCCTGTGTGTGTTAGATGTCAAGAGCCATTGTTGCTGATTTTGTAGCTACATGTTTGTGGCTAGATGTTGATCCCTAAATTTGAAAAAGATCGGGTAGCCCCAATGATGGCACAACTCCCAGCATCCTTTCTGGGTGTTGTTTCTGCATCAGGAAAGGCTCAGTGTAGACATGTATTAGACTCTGCAAAGAGGACAAGCTGGGCAGATGCTCACTGGCAAACCCTTGCCCCATTTTCAAAGCAGTTCCTGATGTCTTTCCTTATTTTTCTTTGTTCAGAGGAAGCCATAAAAAGCCTGTTCTTAACTCGAGGGCTTCCCCCCTCCATGGGGAGGATCACTGCCAGGGAGGTGGCCAGCTGAAATGACAACCTATCCCAGTCAAACGAGCTGCCACAAACTTTCCTGCCTTAAAACCAGCCAGTTTGTTCTCAATTCCCCCGTGCTTGCCCTTGTGGGGTGCTTTTCCCGTGAAGACTCTGGATTTCTTTCCAAGCTTGTGTTGCTGGAGTGTGTATGGAGTATACCAGGTGTTTCTGTATGTTGGCCATTTGTTCTTTCTGATGTCCGATGGGAGTGAGCATGTCTGTGAATGACTAGAAATGCATGGGCATGAATACAGCCAAATGGATTTTCTCCAAAAACGATTTAAAATGAATTGGGGGAAGAAAAAAGAAAATCAACCAACCAACCAAAAAAAAAAAACCAACAAAAAAACAAAACCAAAAACCAACCCAAAAAAGAGCTTGCTAGCAAAGAAAATGGAATGTAAGGCCAGTGTGGAGCCAGCACAATGCTTCAATCCGGGAAAGAGGGTTTTGAGCCATTGAAAGTTTTGGAGTGTATCCTAGAGGACTGGGGGGAAGGAGTCCTGTGTGTGTGTGCATGTCCCAGCAGTAGCCAAGGCCCTGCCATTCCTGTTTCCTCACGGAATGGAGTTGACGGCAGCGATGCATGAGTGACCTAACGCACGAACGTTGTTAACTCTTTTGTTGAAAAATGAGAGCTTAACTGTGAATTTTCTGATGCACTTTCTCCTTTCTCTGCACTGTTCATTGCCAGAGCTCCAATAACAGCATGGTCATGGCCGGCAGGAAGGCTTGTGCTTCCGCTGCACCCCACGAAGCCGGGCTTTCCCAGCTTCAGCCCTCCTCCCTCTCGGTGTGCCCCCGTGGGTCAGGGTGCCCGTGGGGCTGAAATCACAGGCCCCACTCTTTGAGCTGGATACAGGCAGAACCGGTGGAGCCGGGAGTGTAACAACCTGGAGTGTCTGCGCCACTCGGTCTGGGGAGAAAGCGCTTTTTCTGCCATGCCCTTTCAATTTTCCTCCCTGCCACTCTCCCCACCATAACCAACGTGCCAGTTTTTATGTCCTAGCCCCTGTTGCCTCTCAGTGGCCAGAGAGCTCAGCCCTCACAAGGTGCTGGGCTTTGGGGAGCCCCTCAGGTGAGAGGCCCAGCTCACACTTGCCCCCTGTACAAGCAGGACATCTCTAAGCAGCCATGACCTTGAACACACTGACGTTGTGTCCATCTTTCAAATTCTGCCCCCACCCTGCTGTAAGCAGAGAGCTCTAAATGCTCAGAGTGATTCCCCAGGATGTGGGTGCTGCACACACAGGGCATTGTGCTTGAGGCCCTGTCCATCCATCTGTCTGCCCAGCAATGGGGGGCTCAGGGCTGCTCCCCATTCCCCTGGCAAGGCAAGAACCAGGCAATGCCGCCTCAGCACAGGCAGAATTTCTGCTCATTCCCATGGAAGAGTAGGGTTTTGAGCCATTTGGAAAAGCCTCCTCTGAAGCTGGCAAAGCAGGAAAACACCCTAGTCACAAATGAAGATTGGTAAGAAAATATTTGACCCATAATGCAGCAGGTAAATTATTTTACAGGCTGGAAATCCTTCCCTGAAGGCCTGTGTGGGTTTTTAATTGTGGCCTTAGCATGTTTGGTACAAGAATCGGTAGCACTATTGTGTTACACTCTTGTTCCTTTTTCTGATAGTCCTCAGTCCCTGAAAATGTTTGGCTGAAGCCAAAGCCTGGCTGCCCCAGACCGGAGCGCCAGCCACGTGTACGTCCTGCCAGGTGCCACAGAAAAGGGCTTTCTGCACTGCCACCACCAAGCAGCTCTGCCAGTCCCACTGCCTCCTTCCCTCTTGGAAATGCCCTACTTAAAAGTGCAGCTAATAGTGAATCCTCAGTCTGTTTCACAGCTCCCATCCTTGGGGCAGTGAATAAAACATCACAGCGCTGCCTGCGCGCTGCGGGTCTGCGCGGCGCCGCATGAAACGGAATCCCTAATTGCTTATTTAGAGCCTGAGATGGGAGAGAAATTGGCTTTTCCTAAAGAACTGGATGTAGCATGGGAGCCCACAGAAACCTAAATGTACCTGGGGGTGCCTGGTCCTTGTGTGAGCACCTTGTTCAGCTGCAGGACGCACTCACTGAGCCTGCTGAGGATTTATCATTTCCAGGGAAATGGAGCAGAGTGAAAAGTTCCCTTTCATTCCTCTGGCAGGAGTAGTGGCAGACTCTGAGTTCATCCCCTCAGAAGTGAAAAGAGGGGGCTTTAGTAGCCAGTATGAAAGTTTAATGAGAAAAATCAAGAAGTAATTTACCACCTATTTAAATGCCTCACAACAGGTTTTAACACCGGCTGGTGGCATTTGTGAGTGTCCCAGGTGCAGGGAGAAGCAAAATTGTGGAATTGTTGCAAATTTTATTCTGAAAAGGATATTTTTTTTTTCTTCATAAAAAATGCAACATTGCCCTTTTTCATCAGTGAGAAAATGTAGTTCCTTGAAAAGGAACTCTCTACAGAATCAATTTTGGAGAGAGAAAAGTTGAAGGGCTCCTCTGCCAAGTGCAGCTTTGCATGGTCAATGGTTCTGTGAGTCAACTGTTGTATTTATAGATCATTTATAGGAAAAAAGCTCCTGAAAATCTGAAAAGGACTCCCTGAAACCCAAGAGTGGCACACAAGCCTATTTCCTGCTATTAATCTAAATGGCTTCCCACTTCAGGAGGTAATACCAATGTAGCTTCCTGATGATTTGATGCATTTAAAAACCAATCACTGAAAATTAGTTTCATTTTTAAAGGGCAGTGTATATATAAAAATATACATATTGCTGCTTTTCAGTGGGGCCAAGTCTGCACATTGACCACACTGCACTCACAGCTTGGCTATTTAACAGAGAGTCAGCTCTGGTAGCAGTCTGTGAGCTGATGATCCCAGGTTCCCCAGTGCCCAGGGATGCGGGATCTCTTCATGGGATTTTTTTTTCTTTGCTTATGCATTTGCTTTTAGTGGCCAGCACAAGAGTGAGTCCTGGAAGTCGCAGCTCACAGGGTAACATTGCCCCATCCCACATTTCAGTAAGTCTGGGTGGCCTCCTGGCTCTGCTTTGCCCTGTCACTGGTGCTGAGCTGTTCACCCCTGGAGATGCTCTGCCTGCAGACCCCAGCACTTCCTCAGACCCCCAAACCAAGCAGCACTAATGCCCTCACAGACAGCCCTGGCTATGGTGGCCATGACCACGTGCCTCCCTGACTGCTGTATAGCTTTGAGGACAGATGCTTTTCCCATAAATCCATCACATTTGGGCAAATGAAAAAAAGCCAGTTTGTCCAATAGTTTGGCAGAGGACACAGCCCACAGCCTGCAAACAGGCCATGACATGCACTGCACAATATTCATATTCTGTCATTGGTAAATGTCCTGACTTGTCACCATGACCAAAACTAATTGGATTGGTTGCAAAATTGGAGGCAAGTTTTCCATTGCTCTCTGTGTGCAGGACTGAAATCAGCCTGGACTAAATTGGGAAATTGTCCCTGTGACGGCCGAAAGGCAGAGTCTGGGGCTCTGCATGCTGTTATGAGTGGTCTCAAACCACGTTCCAACAGTGTAGAGCGAGGAGCATTTCTGTCTGTAATGAAGGCCACGATTGCACTGGTGTCACACGATGGCTCTGCCCGCACTGGCAGACGGTGGCAAGTGACTGACGCATTCTCTTTTTCCCCCTCAAGAAATTCATCCTCAGTTCTTAAGTGTGTTGTTTTTTGTCGCTTGAGAAACGCAGAGAAAAACGAGTCTGTTTTTACTTGTAAGGCTTTACTCAGTTGCCCAATTCGGCCGAGGAGCTGGACTATGGGGATCTCTCAGGTAAGGGCTAGTCTGTAGGTAACCCGCTGCTCTCCTTCGCTAGACACTGGTTCCACTCTGATTTCTGCATCTTGGCCATGTTGCATTGTGCAGTCGCTATGGTGCAGCCATTCCCCCCACGCTCTTGCAGCTTGGAAGTGCGCTCCTTTCTGTTGGGGTTCTCCTCCTTTTTTTTTTTTTAATTTTTTTATTTTGGCACCCATTTCTGTGTGGCATCCTCGGGGCAGGAGGTGCAGGGCACCAAGGCCAACCATTGTGGTTCCCTCCTGGCTGGGATTTTTTGAACATTGAATTGGAGACCGGTTGAGTTGAATCTTGGTTTGTAAAACACTTGAATCTGCCGTGTTGTGTGAAACCCCCCCTTAAAACAGGTGGCCAGCACTAACCCTTGGCTGCTTGGGGATTCCTCATCATATCAGCATCAGATTGGCAGTAAAAAAGAGGTGGTTGTTTCATCAGTGAGGCCAAACCAAGTAAATAGTTCAAGCCTCTTTTTATCCACACTGGTCTGAAAGAGGCATAAATGCATCCTCATGGCTGGTCCTTGCCAATTAGTGCTGATTGAGATTAAAGCATAACAGCATCTTCAGTGGATGCAGTTGGGTGCATTCAGAGCAGAGCCTGTACCAGTGGTACAAACCCAAATCTTTGTTTTTCATGTTTTCTTATAGAAATGCACCTATATTTTTTTTTTGCCCCCCCTTGCAGAGCATCCCTGCAAACTCCTGGTACCTGCTGGGCTCTGTGGCTGCGTGCGGCCGCTCCAGCGCAGGGTGCACAGTCCTGGCCATGGGGCAGGAGCAGCCATTTGTCCCCCTGGGAAGAGCCCAGCCCAGGCACTTGGGGCCCGGTGCTGTTCCTCTCAGGGGTTCAGCATGGAGCAAAAAAATACACCAAAAAACCCTGAGTCCTCATCTTATTCCATCAGATGGTTCCCTCTCACCCGATCAAATCAGGAACGTCTCATCCCATAAGCCACTACAGGTGTGCTGTGGCCAAGAGGTCAGAAATGATGGATTCATTCTGGATGTTTTCTAACATTGAGCAATGCTAACAATTATTATTGCAGGCCTGGGACAGATCCCATAGGTAAGATGCACCAGGGCTCTGGTGAACATCCCTGAGTGGATGGGGAAAATTGTTTTGCTCTTAGTTCTTTTACTTTTTAAGTTCTATTTTTTAAGGAAAAATACACTTTTTGGTGAGTGAAGAGAAGAACCTGAAACAATTTCTCAAGGGAATTGCCCAGAATGAGTGTTTACTCCCCAGCCTGTGCTGCTCAGAGGGGCTCACACCTTTCCCAGAGCACACAGCTCAGTGTAGTCCCTTTTCTGAGTCTGGAATGGAAGCCAAAGTTTCCCCCACCTCTACAGAATGCAGCTCAGGCAGAGCCACTGCCCACAGTGAGCACCTGTCGTGTGCTGCCAAGCAGCCTTTTTGGAGCATCTGGTTTGGCTACTGATTTTTTCCCTAAGAATTTCAAAATTTTGCTTGTTGCTCTTTGGGTTACTCCTGCCTGCCCAAAGGGTGATCATTCCTGGTCAGGTGTGGTCAGGATCATGCTGGGTCAGGTATGGGGGAGGCACTAGAGAGAGCCCCAGGCCCTTCTCTGCTACAGACAGAGTGGTCTCTGCCCCATAGCTTCAGAGACTGAAACCAGGTCACGTTTTTGGCCCGGGCTCAGCACATGGGGGCTCTCAGATGGGTGCTCCAGGGGAGTGCTGGAGTTGAGCTCTCCATCGGGCACGCTGCCCTCTGCTCCAGCCAGAGCGGGTGCTGGGAGCCCTGGGCACTGTCCTGGGGATGCAGGGCACAGCCCACCCCCATGGGGGACCCTGGGCACCACCCTGGGGATGCAGGGCATGGCCCACCCCCATGGGGAGCCCTGGGCACCACCCTGGGGATGCAGGGCACGGCCCACCCCCATGGGGGACCCTGGGCACTGTCCTGGGGATGCAGGGCACGGGCCACCCCCATGGGGGACCCTGGGCACCACCCTGGGGATGCAGGGCACAGCCCACCCCCATGGGGACCCTGGCGTGGCGGGCGTGGGGGCTGCTGCAGTGTTTGCTCAGTGTGCTGTTCCTTCCAGGTACATCTGTCCCACCCACAGCTTCAAGCGAGGCTCTGCCGACTGTGCAATTAAGTAATGCATCCCTTGCCTTCCGCCCTTCAGGTAGCCTGAGTGCAGAGCCGTCCTCGCTCTTTGGCCGAGCTCTGTGTGTCTGTGCCTCTCGCAATCCTCCTCTTGTTCCTCACATCCCTTAGGGTACGGAGAGGGCTGGCCTGGCACCTCTCAGTTCCTCATTCCAGCCTGGCACAGACTGGCAGGCAGGGTTCCTGCAGCACTGGGCACTGAGGGGGCAGACCTGTGTGTGTGTGTGTGTTGTGCACACCTGTGCATGCAGGTGCACACACACAGACACTGCCCTGGGCTCGGGGCACGGCGCTCCAGGGACCCCTCCCCACACCCCCCGAGCTCTCCTGGCTCTGCTCTGGAGCATCAGCACCTCCTGTGAACCAGGGAACGTTCCCTGACCAAAAACCATCAGCGCCTTTGCAGAGGGGATGCTGGTGGATCCATGGCATGGGCTGCACAGGGGCTCCCCTCTCCACAGAGGAGTCTGTGGAAGCAGCCGTGCAGCTCTGAGCTCTGCCACGGTGAGCACATTTATTCAAACAAAGCGCGTTATTTTTTATGAAGCGATCTTGAAATGGGTCGCTGAAGGGGAGCTTATTGATTGAAGAAGGATGAACTCCTCAAATTTCTCTGGTTTAAATTAGACCAAATTCAATTACGATACGACAGGCAGGTTAACGCTGCTCTTTAACGGCCCCTCAATAAATTCGAGGAGGGGTAGCCTGCTCCATGCCACGCTGTGGGAATGAATAACATTATTGCTCATCCTGTCATGGGCAGGCAGTGATTTCTGTCCTCCCATGTCGTGGCTAAGTGCTTTATAGTGTTCACAGAGTAACGGCAGCCTGTTCTTCCACCAGCACCCCCTGCCAAGTCCAACATCTAGTGCTGCTGCATCATTTCAAAAACTTCATTCCACAAAAGAATTGACCCCAGATTCATTTGGGAGGTGTCAGTGCAGTCCTGATGTTTCCTACCTCCAGGGAAAAGGAATAATTGGCTCACCAGGTTTTCAGGAGTGCTCAGATGACTTAAAGCCATTAAACACCCAAATCGTGACCTGTGGGTTCTTCAGGCATACTGATGGGATAATCATTTAACAAACTAAACTGTAATCAGATTTACAAGAGGTCACTTGTTTAGGAATTCTTCAAAGCTGTTGGTGTAGGTTTCCTTCCCCTGCCGCGATGCAGATGTTACCTGCACATCTGGGAAGCTCAGGAGCTTCAGTGGGGTTGGTGTGTATGAGCTTGCTTCTGCCCACAGGTTCAGCCCACACTGCCCAATGTCAGGAGCTTGACCTTAATTTTCACCCAGAAATAGAAGGTAAATTTTTGTGCAAGTGAGGCAATAAATCCTGATGTGCCAAAAATAATGTCTTAACTACATTTTCATAAAAATCTCCCTCTGTTGTCTGCTTTTACAGCAGAAATGCATAGAGGAAGGTCAGGGCTGTCCAGAGACACCCCAAAAGATTGCAGTTGGGCTAACGTGAAGCTGGAGGGAGGTGAGGAGGAAGGACAGGAGTCAGGAGCACCACACAGCTGGGGTTCCATAAAACCTGGGCTTTCATGCATCACAGCAGGACAGGCTGCGTCTGCCAGTGCTGCCTTTGCTCCACACCTCCGTCTCTGAGCCCAGGGAGAGCCGCAGTCGGCTGGGGAGGTGCTGGGCACGCAGGGAAGGAGCTGTTGGCAGCAGCAGCAGCAGCAGTGTCAGGAGCGGTGCCAGCGGCCGTGGAGAGCTGGGGCCGGCTCCTCCCGGCTGCAGGAGGCCCCTGGAGGAAGGAGCCGCTGCCTCCAGGTGCTCGAGGACGCTGGTGTGTGCAGGGGGCTCCCGTCACCAAGGTGAGCCCAGAGCCGCCGCCTGAGCCTCGCGGGACCCGCTGCTGAGAGCGTGGGGAGCGCTGAAGGTAAACCTGCAGTGGTTTGACCCAAATAGGGCTGAGGCTGTCGGTGTGGGCAGAAAGGAGATTTAAAACACAGGCAGCCTGGTCCAACCCATTCTTACTTTTACTCTTGGGATGCTGCTGCTGACGAAAAGAGTGGAATATTCATAGATACATCTATATTTAAAGCCTCATTAAAGTGGAATTGAGTGGAACCTTTTCATTGAGAAGTTGGGAGCAGAGAAGTCTTCCCTCTGCTAAATCTCAGTGTAAGCACTGACCCAGACTGTCAGAGTGCTGCTCTTACCATCACCAACATTTTTCTTGAGAGCCCACAGAAAGCCGATTTTAGCACTTAACATTGGCAGAAATGTTAGAAACCTGGAGATCATTAGAACATTCACTTTTTAAGAGTCCCCCAAAGCCCCCGTAGCTGAGAACCTGCAGGTGTGAATCGCAGATGACGATTATCAATACTTAGATGGACAGTCCCCAGCTCAGCATCTGCTCCGTACTGCTCCTAACCTCTGGAATTAGTTCCTTAGTTCTGTGATGAGTAGGAAGCAGTCCCAAACCCCTTTCTCTCCTGTCTATGTGCTGTTTGCTGAGCCGTACTTTTTGTTTAAAGGAAAACTTCAAGGTTGCCATTCCAGCAGTGTAATCACTATTTTGTTGATCACACGAGCAGTTGGTAAAAATAATCAGCAAAAATAAATTTCAAGCTACCCAAGTCTCTTCCTGGCCACCCTAGAAGAGGCTCTGGAGCTCTGCTGCTGCTGTACAGTGATCTGCACCATGGGATGGACCCAGTACTGCAATGAAACCCTGGCATCCCCTGTTGTGGGCTGCAGCCGTGCCAATCCCTTGGGGGAGCAGCACAGCACTTGGAAAGACAAATTGATTTTTTTTTCCTGCTTGAGTTCAGCTCTGGCAAGTGGATTGTACCATTACCACTGCAGTTTTCCTTTAAGGTGCTTTGGTGCCAAGCAAAGCATCGACCCAAAAACGGTTCAGCCAAGGTGCACCCATAGCTGCAGAGTAGCCCTGAGGGCGCATGTTGCTGACAACATGCTGTGATGTCTGTTCCTTCCCTGCCCTTCCCTCCTTCTTTCTGCCCCACCCACAAAAATTCACAAGCGAACCCAAAACAAAACCCTAATAGGCAAATTCCTGATGATTCGCTGGAGAGGCCAGGATTCAGCTTGCTCCAATATATATTAACATCCTAATGGGAAAGCTCTGCATGTATACATTTACTGCGCCCTGACAAGAGGGAATTAAATGTCAGAAGGATTTGTAGCATCTGTAATTGAATTGGTGCTGAGAAAAGCAAATCTTGAGGAAGAATAACATATTAGGATTAGCAAATAATGTGGCATTTTGTCAGTTCCTGCCATCTCAACTGTTCCCTCTTCAGCAATAAAGTTGTGATTTCTGGTTTAATCAGAGATAGGAGGCGGGAATAGCTTGGGTGAATTGGAGACAGCATTTAAAGCAAATTCCGGTTGTTAAGGTCAAGTCTCTCCTTGGCTTTGAGGAATTATTCCTTGTTCCATAGACCTGACACTTGGTTAATTACCAAAGAAATAGCGGGGGACAGGAGGATGTGGAGGGGCCGTTCCTGTGCTGGTGGCACACAGACAGGTGTGCTGGGATTGTGTTGGAATTGCTGGCAGTGGGTTTCGGCTTTGCTGTGCCTGCAGGCAGAGCTCTTGGTGCTGGGTCATGCCCCAGAGCATGCAGGGTTTGATGAGGGGCTGGAGGCAAGGAGAGGAGATGCTGCAGCAGGAATCTTTTAGGCCATGTGTAAGCTTGAAGATGTATTTAGCCACGTGTATAACAGTGTGAACTTGGGGCTGGCACCTCGCAGGGGTCTTCTTTAAGAAGAACAATTGAGGAAAATGGCCCTGCACATCTCAGCAGAGGAACTGACGCTTAACAAACTCTGCTGAGCAAACCTGGCAAGGCTTTAGGCCAAAGTCCCTTCTCAGGGGAGCCCTTGCTCCCTGCTCTTGGCGTGATGTCAGGCAGAGGGAAGACAAGAGGGATGTGTCAGGCACGGTCTCTGGCACGGCCCCATCTCTGCGGCACTGGGTCTGTGGGACAGCGTGGAGGCTGCCACCGCCAGCACGAGCACACGGCTTCGTCTTTCCAGAACCTTAATTTATGATGATGAAGAAAAAATGCCTCTTGATGCAAAATCCTGCTGGAAGCACATTACAGAGCCGTAACTCAGCATGTTTATGCCCCTCAGCTGTTCCAGATGTCAACAAGGCACTCATCGCCCAGGCTGGGATGCTGCTGGATGCTCCAAATGTAACCAAGCGGAACTGGGTGAAAGTTTCTGAAAAAATAAGAAAAAAATGGAGTGAAGCATGCCTAAAGCAGCTGCTCCAGCAGATGAGCCAGTTTATTTGCCTTGCAGAGAGCAGGTTCGTGGAGGCCAGATCAGCCAAGCTGGAGTGGCAGTGGGAAGGCTGTGTCGGAGTGGGGGCTCCCTGGATGCCCAGTGTGACTGGATTTCCCCAGCTGCCCCCCTGGGCAAGCAGCAGATCCTGTCCCTGGGCATGGGATCAGCTCCGCACCCCACGAGTGTCCATGGGCACCTTTCCCTCAGCATGCAGGGATGTTCAGCTGCTTGCCACACAGCAGATGCTGGGAAGTGATCACAGCATGATCTGCTCCCACTGGAGATGAGACAGAAGGTCCTCCTTTGCTGTGTTTTTGGTTTGCAGGGGAATAATCTTTTTTGGCTGCAGTTTTTACCTTATCAGCCAAGCTGCTGGAAGGGTCTCCACAGTATCTCTCACCACGCCCCAGCTCGTCCCAGCATCTCTCTGCCCACCCTGGGGATCCTGCTCTCAGAGGTTACTCGAAAGGGGCTTTTTTTCTTAAATTGTTTTAATTAAAAGGCGCTTTATGGTGCTCTTGGTCCCCAGTTATTTACTTGGGTTCCTCAGTCCTTAATCTTGGAGCAGAATTGGAAATATCGATAGAAAGCATAAATCCCAGCTGCTGCTCGAAAGCTTTGTATCAGGTCTCAGCTCAAAAGAGCCCCATTACCTTTAGCTGTCACGGATCTGTACGCTTGATCGATAAACTTCAAATATTATTAGAGGTGGAGGCTTCAGAGATTTGCTCTGTTCTTTGGAGGGAGACGGAGATAAATCTTTCTTAAAAATTGACTTGCATTTGCTCTCTCAGTCGTCCTGGCAAAACGCATTTCTCCGAGGTGTCCAGGCAGGCGCAGGCAGGGCAGATTTATGGGCCATGTGCTTCTTGTAGTGAAAGATTTAAATGGTAAATCCTTCACATATGACTTCACAAATCATGTAAAGTTAAAAGATTTTTACCGTTTCTGTTGCTGCTGTGCTTAAATTGTAAGGTATGGCCAGTAAATCATTTTAATAGAGGTGTCGCGCTTGACTCACTAAAAAAAAGAGACAATGGTTTAGCTTCTATTCCAAAATGTTAATGTATTAATCAGCAGGAGAATAATTGTTTTTTACTGCGTTATAAATCTCAGTTGCCATTAGGATTGCAGCGAGGGTTGATGTAGCTGCGTTCTTAAATTAAAATTGTTTACACTGCTATACATTCATTTTACATGGCCATAGCTCATCCGGGGTTCATTCCGGAGCTGTTCCTCCGCCACATCAGTCATCCCTCTCCCAGGTGACGGCATCCCGAGGGAGAGGCGCTTCTGAAAGGAAACTAATTGTGTGGTGAGGAGTTAAATAAACGCAGTAAAGCAGTCGGAGGCACTGTACAGTTCCTGCTTACTGTCGGCCTCGGACTGGGTGTTAGCTTTTGGGTCAGGAGTGCTGTGTCCTTGTGGGTGCATTGGACAGGAAAGGTGGGGGTTCATGGTGGAACCCAGTTCAGTTGCGGCAGAGGATGACTGTAAACACATTTTCCATGCTGGGTGGATTGGGTTTTGGGCAAGGAGTGTTTTGGGAAGTTGAAATGTTTTCAACAGGGCACTCGTTAATGACATTTCTCAGAGCTGACAATTAATATTCCCGTATGGTACTGCTCTTCCCCATGCCCCATCGCCATGGGGCTCTCGAAGGCTGAGATTTGGGGAGCACTACAGGGAAATTTCCCAAAATAGATCCCCACCAAGAACTCCACGTGCCCTTCCTCCCCTCTCCCAGCTGTCTCCCACGTGCGTAGTCATAGTGCTGCTGCTTTTAGCGGAAAACACCTCGCCAGTTGAGCCGCCAGATCAGTTCGGCTCCGGACAAAGCTCCTCTGCCCGAACTCATCTGCCTAGTTAGCTCCGTGCTTCACCCCTGCTCCTCTGGAGAGCCTGAGGGCAGCTCTTCCCATCCTGAGAGCAGCTGCAGCCAGAGCCTGCCGAGAGCATCGCAGTAAGCCCCCAATTCTTATTCCTCTTCTGGTCTCAACAGATTCCCGTGCGGGTGAGGACGGGGCCATACGGAGCGTGGACCATGCCGTGGTTGGTGGCGTCGTGGCCGTCGTCGTCTTTGCCATGCTTTGCCTGCTCATCATTTTAGGGCGATATTTTGCCAGACATAAAGGTAAGGCAGAGAGCAAAGCTGGAGGATGGAAGGCCAGGCTCGTGTGTCCCCTCAGCCACGGTGTTGTCGTGTCTGACGGGACACACGCCCCACTTTCTCTCCCAGCAGCACTTTTTGTTTCCTTTGTCAGTCGCTCCCTCAGCACCACACCCAGGCCCCCAAGGAGTCACGCAGCCTCCACTTCCCTTGCAGGTACATACTTCACTCACGAAGCCAAAGGAGCAGATGATGCGGCCGACGCAGACACAGCCATCATCAACGCAGAGGGGGGACAAAACAACTCCGAGGAAAAGAAAGAGTACTTCATCTAGAGCAGCCTTGGTTCCCATGAGGTGTCCAACTGTGGACGGTTACTACTGGCCCTATTTAAACGCTACAAAGACAAAGTGATCTTGGAAGTTGCAACCAGCTTGTGTCTTTTTTTTTTTTAAGAAAAAAAAAAGCAAATGGGTGGAGAGCGGTGAGGCCGGGAAGGTCTGGGATTTGCTGTGTAAAAATATTCCTCGTAAAGTACACTCTGCTGTTCGACACCTCAGTTCGTTTGGGTTTTCTTTTTTTGGCCAAGTCCAGCTTGGATTTAGTTTAGTGAAGTCATTTGCAGAAGATTCTGTGCCTTGTTTAATTTCTGTTCGTTCGGGTCGGGGGGAGGCTGGGAAGAAGAGGGGCTTCTGTGCGTTAGTTCCCTTCGGGTTTCTGTGGCTCTTCGTTTCCCCTTTCCTGTTTCTGGAGTTGCCAGCTGGGACCCCGTGGAGTAGGTGCGTTTCTCTGAAGGTGTTTCCCCTTTTTTCTCTTCACCAGTTTCCGTTCAGAACTCGAGCTCATCGGAGGAGAACCAGCACATTTTAGATGCGTAGTTTGCAGTTCAGTGTGCCCATGTCCCGTTCCCCCGTTGCCGTCAGGGCTCGGATAACACCCCCCAAGCCCCCTTTTGTGGCTGTTTCAGGTGCTTTCGATGGTGCAGCTGGGAAATGGGCTGGAGCTCGGCAGAGGCGCTGCTCGGCCGCGGGGATGCAGGAGCAGGGTCCCTGCTGGGCAGGCAGAGCCCTCCCGGATGCGGGGGCTTCTCCTCATCCTCTCCCCGCTGGGCGGCCGCGGAGGCAGCAGGTAAAGCCCCTCTGACGTGTGAGCCCAGACCTGGAGAGCGGCTGGATGAACACACCTGCCTTTTTTTCTACCTGCTGAGTAAAATGCGGGAATTTGTGTTGAAACGAGCGTGCTAATGACCACTAAAGCCATAGGTGCACAGGAAACTCTGGCTCAATTGGAATTGTAAGCGACAGGTAGCAAACTGCAGCGGGAAGACGGTATAAAGCTATATATGCTGACTTTTTTTTGGTGAGTAATCATGGATTTCAAGCGATACTTTTTTATTGTGTTTATGTGGCAAATGTATCTGATTTATTTAAGGAAAGCATTAATCTTAGTGTCAGGTTTGGGGATTTTTTTACGGGTTTTGGGGCGGGGCGGGGGGGCCATTTTCATGTGTTTGTTTTTTAATTGCTGTTTTTTGGCAGAACCATTACAATGTGGGATTCCTTTGGGAACGGGGCGGCCTGGAGCACCAAGCAGGCCCTTTTCCCCCGGCAGTATTCCGTCTTTCCCCTCTTTCACGGGCGGAACCTCGCGAAACAAACACCCTTTTTCCCCGAGCAGCTTTTGCCGAGCGCAGCTCTTCTCTGAGCCCTCAGCACCATTGCCAAACCCCATCGCGGTGAGAAGCAGCCAGGCTGGAGCCGGGGGCTCCGCGGCACGGGACGGGCATCCTGGCCTTGAGCAGCCCATATTTGTTTGGAAGTGTACCGTAGTGCAGTGTTACCGATGTAACTTTGACTTACAATGTTGACATGTCTCAGGTTCATGTGTTTGATTGGTGTTTTCCGTCTCAGGTAGATGATTGCAAAATTTTGGCCCCACGCATTGGAAAAATAAAAAAAAAAAAAACCACGCGTAAAAACAGGAGAAAAAACAGGAAATTATTAATTTTAGTTGTATATCAGTTTATGTATTTTTTCTTCAGTATACAGTGCACTGTTGAAATGTATTGTTGAGTATTACTTTGTACAGCTTTAGATCATTAGGACTTTGAAGCGTGAAGAAAGAACAACCTTGTTTAAAGGAGGATCACAAATGAAGAACGCAGAACTGATGATAAACAACCTTGTTCTTTATTTACCCGGCCTTTTTATTTTTTCCCCTTAGGCCAGTTCTGTTTTAAGGTGTCCATGGAAGATGTTACAGTGTAAGAAAATACATATCCATCTGTTCCCATTCACATTTTGTATTGGTTCATGTATCCCATTTTTACAAAGGAAAAGAAGTACTATAAAATATCTGTCTTCTTAATAAAAAAAAGTTAATGTTACAAAACTAGACCTTGTTTTGCACTCTTTATCCCAGCTGTTGCAGAGTCCACTATCGGAGCTCCACCAGCTACATGGGCAGGAGGAGCTGGGGCTGAGCAGGTCACACTCAGCATTAGGACAAAAGGAGTTAAACCTGATGTATTGAACCTGCATATAATATAGAGCAGATTTCATAAGTTTCTTGTTTATAATTGCTAAATTATTTTCTTTGAGGAGCAATGCCTTGGAGGAAGTTGATCTGTTGCTGATATTCCAACTTTCCCAAGCTGTGCTAGGTCAGTACACAAGTTCTTAATAGCAGACAAATATTTAAATCCTCCCTTGTAAGGTAAGGCAAGGTAATGTAAGGTAAGGTAAGGTAAAGTAAGGTAAGGTAATCCCCCCTTGAAATGCGTGACCTCCCTCACCCCATTCTTGTCTCCCATTCAGTCCTGGCACTGCCAGAGTCCTGGCACCTGTCTGTAGAACACCTGGCATGTCCAGGCTGTGACTCCCATGTCTGTTTGCCTCGGGACGTGTGGATCCAGCACCAGTGCTGCCGAAGGATCCGTCCGGCTCCGCTCAGCCTCGGGCAGCAGCAGCAGCACCAACACTCCTCCCCTGCCTCCCCTCCACCACAGCCCCCGAAATCAGCCTGCGAGGCAGCTGCAGCACTGAAATTAGAATCATTAATCTTTTATGTTTTGCACAAAGGATGAGGAGGAAGACAATTGCTTTTTGAGGAGATCACACCGAGAACAAGCGTGCAGAATGAGCGCCCCGGAGGGGCTCTGTGGACCCGGGGCTGTGTGCCAGACCAAGGCCACTGTCCAGCTCCTGAGCACTCGAGGCATCTCGTGGTTATGTCACAAATAATGTTTTTCTGAGCGAAATTGTGACACAGGGAAAAACCATAGGGCAGAGCCAAAAAAGCAGCTCCCTCTTTTCTTACCTGAAATGAGCAGAGCAGCTTTGATGGTTTCCATGGCTATTGCAATTATTTCAGTGCAGAAGAGGTTTGTGGCTGATGCCAGCTCACGATGGTTTTCTCCTCAAGCCAGCACTAATTGTGTCTCACACTTGTGGTGTCTGTAATTTATCCTCTCAGGGGTCCACGTCTTCCAGAGTTTTAAGGTTATTTAGTGGTGCTTTTCTTCCCATTGAACCTAAACGCTCTGCTCCTTTGCTTTTCTGGCCCTACACAGGCATTACAAATAGGTGGCAGGAAACTGTACCTGTAGCATGCAGGATCAGGTACCTGGTGAAACCCTTTGCATTAACTTCTCAGACACTGAGATACAAAGAACTTGGATGGGGAAAGCTGTAGATAGTAACAATTGAGCAACAAGATTTAGTGACCCCTCTGTCTTGTGTCCAACAGCAGAAACACGCTCCCCATACATGACCCCACAGCTGCTGAGCCTGGTCCATTACACAGAGCTGAGGACACTGCCAGGATTTTATGAAAATGAAGAAAATCATCATTACTTCAAATAAGAATGTAGTCTTTGCCCTGAATTTCACATTTTCACAAGTTGCAGAAGTCATTTGATCCTAATTGCAAAATTATTTTATTAGGTCTGTAATACAGTTCTTAATTTTCTTCCCTTTTTAACCAAATACAGGGAAGAATTGCTTTAACTGGGTATCTGAGTCTGACTTGTGTAATTACAGCCTGTTCTGCCAGGCTGAAGTTGCCGAAAACCTTATGCCACATAAAGTAATTAGCAATAAATGACACTTAAACTCCCATCAGGTAAGGTGTACCAGGATCCTGGGCTGGGTGATTGAAATACACGGGAGCAGGGAGGAGGCGTGAGCTGGCAGCATCGATCCGTGCTGGCCAGTCAGTTCTCATCAGAGGGTCCTGACAAGGGGCTAATAGCTTTTTCTGGAGATCCAATCCCATTTTCTTGGCAGCGGCTGGTGCTGTGCCACCTGGGATAACACCTGCTCCAGGTGGCATCGATCGGGCAGGGCCACGTGTGACACCCCAGCGCTGAGTCCCAGCAGCTTTATCTGGTTGTGTCGTTCCAGTGAAGGGAAGACCTGAATTCCATCTAAACCCCAACACCTGGCTTAAAAATTTACATCTAAATTAGTGTAACCAGGAAAATAATTTCAGTCCACCGACCACTAAGGGTTTAAACTGGGCTTGTCCTGTTCCAGAGTCAGCTGTGGAGGTGATGCCTGCAGCACTTTGAGGTCTCTCCTGGAAACCTGTGCACAGGTGAGAAGGGCAGGGGCTTGGCAGGTCCTGTGGGGAAAGGCAGGGCAGGGGATTCTGCAGGGCTGGGCTGCAAACTGAGCAGCTCCTTGGTCTGCTTCAGTTCAATAAACAGGCTTTGTGTAAACAAACAAGTTTTAGGAAGAAAAATAAGCTTTAGCCAAACTAACAAACACTATGTGAATAAATAAACTTTAGTTGAATAAGCAAACTTCAGTGCAGTGAAGAGCTCGAGTTAAACAAGCAAACTCTGTTCAGGTCCAGCTGTGCGAGCGAGGAGAAGGATGAGAGCTCGGCAATCCTGCCCAGCACAGGCTCTCCTGGAGAGAGACCCCGAGAGCTGCTGTGCCTGGGGACACGGGCAGAGCCTCCCAGCGTCTCCCTGTGCCGTGTCAGCTCCGTTCCTCGCTCCCCCTCCAGGCCCATCCCGTCCCCTCCCGGTCCCGCGGGGGTGATGCACTGATGGGTGCCTGCAGAGCTCTCCATCTGTTTTCCCTGTCAGCCCGGGCTCAGCTGCACCGGTATCAGCTCTAACCCGTGTGCCTCTGCCTATCTGCCCACAGCCTGCTCTCCTGCAGCAGTTCCTTATCCTGTTCTGCAGGATAGCAGCAGCCCTGTAAGTCACAGACCTGGAGAGATGTGGGCAGCATAGGAATAATGCCTGCAGATGGAACAGGGATGCAAAATGTAGATAGGAAAGGGTAGGGAGAGATGCCACTCAGCACTGCCTCAGCTCTGCAATCCAAGCTGAGCAGGGTTTGGGCACTGGGCAGCCTGAGTGGGGTTTGGGTTGGGGGACACCCTGCAGCCCAGAAGGTGGGGAAACTGAGCCTTTGGAAGAGTGAAGGGATTCAGCAGCCCGGGGATGTCTTGTTTGTCTTAGGACACAGCTGTAAGCCAGACCCACCTCTGCCTCCAGACTTCACTCCCTGTGGTGGCTGGCAGAGTTGCTCTAAGCTGTTCTATGCCCTGTCCCCAGAGAAACCCTGGAAATCCTATTTTCCTGCTTTGTGTCCCAGCAGTTCCAGTGCTGACCCAAGTCCTCAGGTGCTGGCTCTCAGCATCCTTTGGGGTGAGTGGCATCCCCTCCTCTTCCTCACCAAGCTGCCCCAGAGTGGGAATCCCTCGCTGCAGTGGCACCTGTGCAGTGGGGGGTGCTGAGCCCTGCAGTGCCCCGGTCATTCAGCACCTGCAGGAGCAGCCCCATTCCTGCGGGAGCAGCCCCATTCCTGCGGGAGCAGCCCCATTCCTGCAGAGCAGCCCCATTCCTGCGGGAGCAGCCCCATTCCTGCGGGAGCAGCCCCATTCCTGCGGGAGCAGCCCCATTCCTTCAGGAGCAGCCCCATTCCTGCAGGAGCAGCCCCATTCCTGCAGAGCAGCCCCATTCCTTCAGGAGCAGCCCCATTCCTGCGGGAGCAGCCCCATTCCTGCAGAGCAGCCCCATTCCTGCGGAGCAGCCCCATTCCTGCGGAGCAGCCCATTCCTTCAGGAGCAGCCCCATTCCTGCGGGAGCAGCCCCATTCCTGCAGAGCAGCCCCATTCCTGCGGAGCAGCCCCATTCCTGCGGAGCAGCCCCGTTCCTGCGGGAGCAGCCCCGTTCCTGCGGGAGCAGCCCCATTCCTGCAGAGCAGCCCCATTCCTGCGGGAGCAGCCCCGTTCCTGCAGAGCAGCCCCATTCCTGCGGGATTCCTGCGGGATTCCTGCGGGATTCCTGCGGGATTCCTGCGGGGTTCCTGCAGCTCCTCCCGGCTGCAGCAGGCAGGTGAGCGGGGCTGGCAGCACCTCACCTGCCAGAGCACACCCGGAGCAGAGCAGGGAGATGTGAGGGCTGCCAGGAGTAAAGGGAATATTTGATCAGACGCCCTCGTCTGTGCTCTGTTCTGGCTCTCAGGCTCCCTCGGGGATGGCACCTCGCTGCCTCCGAGCACCACGGCTGCGACAGGTTGGCAGCAGCTCCTCAAACGGGGCCTGCCTGGGAATCTCAATGAGATGGAGAAGGGAACCTTCAGCCTGTGACTCTCCATGTTCTTTTCTGCACCCTGCACCTTTGTTCCCTTCTCTGTTCCACCTCCTCTCACTGTTTCCATGCCCACGGTCAGCTTTCTGTTCTCTGTACCTGGTGCCTGTGTCTGTTCCAGGATGGGAGGTGCTGCCCCGTGCCCTGCACTGGGGCACAGCTTGCTCACACCTTGTCCTTCCTCAGACATGCCCCTTGTCCATGCTCTGCTCTGGGCATTTCTGTTTCTTCCACATAACCTGCTGCAAGCCAGGGGACACGGTGCCCAGAGCATCCTCCAGTGGTGACTGGGACCTGCAGTGGCTTCTTCCCACACCCACCAGCCTGGCAGCCCTTCCCTGCAGCCCTGAGCATTCCTTCCCCCACTGCTCCTGTCCACAATCAGCCCCATTATCCCTGGTAATTGTCCCTTCTCCGGGTGATGCTGCTGAGCAGGGACAGGGAGCGTGGCAGTGTTTTTCTGTGACTAAGAAAAGGTGTGTACGTGGCCTTGATTGCAAATGAAAAATTAAGGCCCTGTGTCTCGCATTCATTCCTACTTGATTACACACCAGTACATAAACAAATCTTCACCCAGTTGCCTGAGGGGTGTCAATGATCCACCTTTGCTTCGCTCGCCTCTCCTCCAGCAAATCTATAACGCATTTAATCTTTGCCACTCACTCTCCTCAGTTTTTAAATGTCTAATTTGCTGCCAAGAGCGGCTCCAGTTCTCACTGTGCTGCTGCCTTGACCGCCTGGTGCTTGCAGGATGGCGTGGCTGGGTCCCAGTGCAGGCACAGGG